GAAATGAGACCATGGGAGCTTTCTTCCCCGTTTGTGCAGCTTGCAGGTGTGAAAAGGCGCGACTGTGCGATGTGTCCGCTTTGAATATAGCTTCAACCGTCGATCGGTCCACGCGGCGCGTTGGGAAGGACCAATTTTAGGGTTCAGCTTCCAGGATTAGGGTTCTGAGAAGTTCTGTTGACAAGCTGTACATTGTTTCTGATCTGCCATGCACAGCCTTGAGCAGGCTTGAGCAGGTTCAGCTAGCAGACGGCGCATGGGGGACCCCCAAGGTGCCTGATAGGGGGATCTTAGGAGGTCACGCTGAGCCATGGCTGGGCTTGCAGGGGCTGTCGTTGGCGATGCAATCATCACTTTCTCCTGGATGCTCGCCAGCTCCCTTGTTGGCCTTGGTGCAGTGACGCTCGCCCCTCACCTTCCGTTCATTGAGCCCTACTCCACATTCACAGTTGCAATGACAATCCTATGTGCGCTGCTCCTTCTCTTTGAACCCATTGCGGGGGCCTTAGGAGGGGCTAGCTTCAATCCTGCAGCCAATCTGACTTTCCTGACAGCGGGAGTAGGTGATGAGTCCAGCCTGAAGTTGGCAACCCGGCTGCCAGCACAGGTGGTGGGTGCGGCGACAGGCGCTCTGGCCCTGGTGTACTTGTACCCTGAGGTGTTTCACAAGATTGTGTTGAAGGGCCCAGGTTTGCAGCCAGGAATCACGGTCATGGAAGGTGCGATCGCTGAGGTGAGATCTCGGCTGCTTGCGACGTGCCCACCACCACCAAGCGATAACAACAAAATGCATTCTGCTTGCAAATCCTTGCGCTGATGTGGCCATGATCAACCATCTGAGCGGGAGTTGTTTTTCTCCAATCACAGACATTCGTTACGCCCTAGGCGTTAGCATTGACTGAGGCTTTCGCTTGAAACCCAATTTGCGAATTGTGTCCAGGACCGTGCATGCCCCACGGTGGGACATGCACAACTCTGGTGCCCTGCAAATCTATGAAGAGTTCTACGTAATTGCAACTTGTTTGACATCCTTCTTACTCAACCAACAGGTGTCCTCCGTGGTTGTAGTCGGACCCAAGTGCACCCAATGTCTGCAGCTCTGATCTCGTTGTTTTGTCACCTGATTTTCTCGCTGTTTGCAATCATGTGCAGGGGGTTGTCAGTTTCGTGATCAACCTTATAGTGCTCTGGTCCATGTTCACACCGCCTTGGAAGGGGTTGGCGGGCATGTTCAAGCACTCTTTGCCGCTGACGGCCACCGTTGCCCTCATCGCGGCTGCGGCATCATACACGGGACCGGCGATGAACCCTGTGACTGTAAGTGTGGGCAAATGATGTTTGCAAGGATGGGCTTCTGATCCTACGCGCAAAAAGCATGGTGGCATGAGGAGTGAAGGCCTTTTCCAACATCCTCGAGGTGGAAACTGTGATTGCTTCGGTTGATGAATGGTTTGAATCTAAAAATGCCCCAGTCTAACCTTCCAGGCAATTGTCAGTTACTTCGTTGCAAGCCATGCAGATTCTCATGCAACAGCCTTTTCGTCTACAGGCATTTGGCTTTGCCTACCTGGAGAAACGACATCAGACCTACGAACACTTTGTTGTCTATTGGGCCACTCCCCTTGCTGGAGCTGTTCTTGCAGCCATCGTTTTCAGAATATTCCTGAAACCACAAAAGGAGAAGGTCAAGAAGTCCTGACGTGCCAATGTATCTTTACGGAAGAAGATGTAATTTGGGCGTCAAACCTTATTGTCAAGGTACAGTTGTTCGAGGTTATGTGTTCCCTTGGTTGCAGTCTCCTTGGCCTTGTACGACACATGTAAAGACATTGAACGGCTAGTCAAAATGTTACTTGCACACTCTTGAGGCGAACTCACCGACGTACTGCTGATGGACGCGTTTTGGAAAACGCAACGTTTGCAAACCTGTTATATCGTCTTGCTCTCAGATGTCGGGGGTAAGCTAGGGCAGCTGGATAGGTTGTATATTCCTCATGCAATCGACAGCCATACTGGATGTTGACAGGTTTAGAACACTCGCAGAGTCGGACGCACCAGTGCCACACAGGACGAAAAAGTTGTTGCACGTTCAGTTAAGGATTTGAATATCAAGAGTACGCGTTGAAATGTTTCAATTGCAACCGCCCCTAAAGATCAGGACGGAAGTATGTCCCATACGAGTTGGCGCAAATCAAGGGGAGACTATACTACCACATGTGGCCCTAATCAACTCGATCTCAATCAGCAATGCTTACTTGTGTACAGTCTTAGAATATGCGGGGCTGCTGGGCGCAAGCATGTGATGCGTCGATGTACATATCCTGGAGAAATTGACTGTACTTTCGAAACCAGCAAAATTGCATGCATGCAGAAGGGTCGGACCCTCGATATATGTATGGATGATCTTATATAGCCTCCATATGTGTATGTATGCGCGGGTGCCGCAGTACGTACCAACGCCGAACGGTCATAAAACTACAAATTAGCCTCTGGCCGCGCCCGCGGCTGCAATTCCGGCGTATACAAAGTTGGAGCCCCGGCGATCATTTATAAGATATAACAACCACATTACATTGCACAAAAGTATATATGTAGCCCGCAGCTTATTAAGCGACGTACTCGACTTTGCGAATTTCGAAGCTGCGCCATAAATGATCGATAACCAACGTCTCGTGTATGACAACATATGGACATGTTTGAACAAGGCAAACAGGATACCTATAGGACGCCCTATAGATGGATATCACGTGCGATTGTCAACGAGCTCGTTGGCCGGACCATGCTTAAGCACGCACGCTCACAGATTGCGCCTGCTCCGTAATCAAGAAGACTCGGAGCCCCAGATTCATATTGACGCGGACTGCATGCGAATCGGTGACCCCTGACAGCAAGATAAATGCGTTTTGCGAAGTATCGAATGATGTTCAAGGAGTATCAAGCGGAAGTAACATACAGCATGCCCTTTGATTGCGATAACCTAATGCTATAAGATGTCTTTTATCCAGTCTTTCTTCATCGAAAAAATCTGTACACTAAGTCTTATCGAGCTGCAAAATGCTTCAAAGAAACCGACTAAAAGTTCAGACTTCGAACGTGGTAACGTTGTCAGTAGAAGCCTTGCTAACTGCCCCTGTATGTGGTGTACGAGTAAGGAGAAAGAATGAGCGGCACGTGGAAATGCTCGCGTGTCTGCGACGGCTTTACCTCAAAGACGATATCCACTTGTGGATAAAAGCCCCCGTCTGCGCCCACCCGACCCGGATCCCCCCTGTCCGCTTTCGTCATATTCTGGAGGTACGCTCCCGTCTGGAAGCGCAGCTTGTACATCCCCGCCGCAACGTGGTCTGAAGCGGGCAACAAGCCGATCACCCGGCCGTCAGCATCCGTAGCCCCCTTTCCCAAAGATTGCCACGTGTCTCCCGTCAGCCCCTCTAGGTCGACTGCCACTCCCTTCGCCGGTCTGCCGTGAGACAGATCCAGGACATGCGTGGTGATAGGCGAGCGCAGACCGGCCGCTCCGGCTGCTGTTGGCTGCATCGACAGTCGATGTGGCTCGTGATCCGGAAACCCGCTAGCTGCCGTGGGCTCGCCATGCTTCGCCCTCTGGTCTTCGGCCAGAGCTCCCCCCGGGCCCCGCCCCGCAGTCAAGTGATTCTCAATCTGTGCCAGTCTGCCATGAGCACCCCCCCTCATATTCAAACCACTTCCGACTGTCTCGCTAGCCCCCCGTTGAGGTTGGGGCCAGGGCGCACGTGTTGCCAACTCGTCAACACTATGCGAAAGCGCAGCCATTGGAGTTGATTCAAGGGAGGTCCTTGTGGAGGACTGCGTGGCTTCGTCCGAGTTCGAATTCAGAAGCTTCTCAAGACGAAGTTCCGTAATCTTCTGCTGCTCTACCGCTGCGATACGGATCTCGTCATGAGGGCAATTCGAGAAGCGAGCCTGCAGGTGGCCAAAAAGGTGGCCAAAAAGTATCAGAAAGGATCATCGCTGCTTCAAGGATATCTCAAGGGGGAACGGGCTAGAGCGGACAATATAGTTTCAGTTCTTCAGAAGTAAAAGCCTGGATTCGACACAATCAAGCAACTAATGAATGCTAATTGGCTTCGAAACTCAGTCAGCTTGCAATCAAGGCGAAACAACACCAATTCAGAGACCTCTTCAGATAAAGTTTCAAGACTAGATCAATAGTGGCAGGAACCAGCACTGCACCTGGAAGACATCACGTGTAATCTGTAACGAAACAAGGCAGGTTGGCTTGCACGTACCTTGACTGCTTCCAGCACCTCCCCACTTGTTTTTCCAGAAGCACAGATGAGGAAAACATGACCAAACTTGTCCTCGTAGTTCTTATTCCACAGAGCGAGTTCCTGCAAGCAGCAAGGTCCATTCTCAGTCCTGAATGGAGAATTCAAAGATAGCTGAGTACCACAAGCCACAAGGAAGCAGTCGCTAGGCGCAGTGTCTGGAGTCGAGGCGCCCCATCCTTGGGTTTGACAGTGAACGAAGGTGCGCTGATGACATCTGCTTAGCGAGGAACACTCGTTCTATGACAGGGCCGAGTTGACGAATTTCTGGATAAAAAGACTTGACATAAAAGAGGTATTTGCAAGACCTTTTCCTCATCAATGGACTACGAACAGTGCGAGAGGAAAGCCAAACAGCCCTTTATCTTCTTACCTGTAACACGCTTTCGTTTGCGCTCGCTAAAGCAGCACCCTGCTCCCCCTCAGAAAACCTGCAAAAAACTTCAGAACTTCAACATGCGGAATGCTTGATTGATTGCACAGAGTAAAGCCCCCATGAAAACAAACAGGATTTGCGACATCCATTGATTAAACTGTCGACTTCTTAAAGTCGATCTGACCTGAAAAATGGTGCGGTCTTTTCAGCCCAGGACGCCTGCAGGCTTCTGTCCATCTAAACTCAGATAGGAAGAATATAAACGTACTCTGCAGAAGCCCCAAACTTCTCTCGCAACCCGCTCACGTCCCCTATCCGAGGATGGCCGCCAAATGCTTCCAACCAGGCAGGTATGCCCACCTGAGAAGTAGTCGTGTTGACAATTGACACCACCAGTTGATACAAGTGTAGCACAATGCTGGAACCAGAGGTATATCACGGACCAGACACATTCCATGCTTTAGGCAAACATGCAAACAGATGTGGTCTACACAATGGAACATTGCTTGAAAAGCTGCCACAATCAGGAAATCAAAGCCGCACATCAACAGAGTATCCACCAGAAGGACCAGAGGTACCAAACATCACCTCTTCCTTCCTTTCCAGGGCAGCTGCTAGCTTAAAGCCGAGGGTAGATTACCTGATTCAGCCACACATTCCGAGCGTGCTGTACCAGATCGACGTAGTTCTCAAATGGCCTTGCCTGCGCCACAAGCTGTGCAAATTGTGCACTGTGGCAGCACTTCCGGAGCGCGTCAATTGCTTCACCAATTCCGAGGCTATTGAACCAGGCAATGCTGGGATACAATCCGATGGGCTCCATTACAAATTCACAGCATTCCGTGCACCAGAAGAAATGTGACAGCAAAACGGATTGATGTGCATGAACCCAACCATGAGGCGGTCAAGCTATCTCCACTGGCAAGAACACTTCGAAGTTCTCCACACACTCAAGAGAGTTCTGCAAATGTTATACTAAAACAGTAACAGGGCATTCTGAGGCAGCACGACTTGACACCACGTATTTCTCATGTGCTACTCTATAATCTGCATGCCGAAAGATGGTGTGAATCTGTGATGGTGTCATGAGACTTTCGGATGCTCGTCCGAGTGGGCAAGCAATGTGTGAATCCCGTCGACGTCAGCGTGCTGCCTGAGGCTGCCAGTGCTGGTGAGCTGATCAGATTCGTTTGTACCTAGCCAGCAATCGTGCTCACAAAGTATCACAGGCGTCTCGAATCACTGCCGGTTGCTGCGCCCAAACAGATTGATCCAAGATGGCCATGGCCGCTGCTTCCCGCACGGTGGTCAACTCCGTTCCTTGCTGCGGGCCAGTTGGGCCTGATTCCAAGTTGATGGGCGGGCAGAGGCTGACGCCGCTGTTAGGCAGGACCAGCTTGGAAGATGCCACCGGTGTCAACTTTGTGAGACACCTCGTGGGTGGCGCGGTCAAAAGTGGTAATGGTGGGAAAGGTGTGCAGCAGCTCCGGGTTAGCGCAGTAGCCTCCACAGAGGCAGCGCCACAGACCAAAGTGTCACCAGGTGGTGGTAAGTCTGATGCTTCTACGCCCTCAAGCGGAGCGGTATTGAAACATTTCTCTTAGTATGTTTTTAAGGAACTGTTGTTTCAGTAAGTGTTTCTTAAAATACAAATTCACCACTGATCAAGTGAGCTGTTATATAGTTTCTAGTGGCATGCCTTGGTTTTACGATGGCTTCACCACGTGATCAGTTGTGTGCCTGATCATATTATGCTTTTGCGTTGAGCTGTCAAGTATCTTTTGTGTTTCTTCCTTTTGATGGGTGGTGGTGAGCTCGCTAGTTCCGTCACAGAAGATAAATTTGTCTTGAATGTTTTTCTGCTGATGGGGCACATCAATTGGTCTTTGGTTTTTGACCTTTCCTCGCTAGTCATCATCAGTTTTCCTTTACGTCTTACCACATTCATGTCAACCGTCCCTTTTCAGAACTGCCAGTAATGTGGGTTGTTGAAATATTTATTGCTGGCCTCAACGCATGTACGTAAACTGAGGCAATTTTGAAGCAACTTTTTTGAGTGTTTTAGACAACACCGCTGGCCTCATCGTGAACCCAGTTCTGGGCACCCATCTATCAGATTACCAGCTTTTTCCTGCCCGCCTCACATGGCGCCTGCCTGCCGTGCAGTGGAGAAGACGGCTCCTTTCCCCGACCTGCCCCTGTCTGAGCTTGATCCCGAGGTGGCGTCCATCATTACAAGGGAGAAGGACCGCCAGTTCCGGGGGCTTGAACTGATTGCCTCTGAGAACTTCACGAGCAAGGCGGTGATGCAGGCGGTGGGGTCCTGCCTGACCAACAAATACTCAGAGGGGCTGCCAGGGAAAAGGTGAGCCAGGTCGCTGCGCTTGAACACTTTGGGGCTAAAGATTTCTGATCTGCGTCAATCCAGCGAGTTTCTCAGTACACGTTGATTATACCCTATGATCTTTGAGTATTGAGTCATCTGGAAATTGCTGCCATCTGGATACCACCTACCATCGCAGTGTCTCATTAGTTATACATCTGTGCCACTGCTGAGCGGTGGCAAGTACCACTCGAGGCGAAATGGGGATTCAAGCGGTTGAGATCTGAGATGCATCGCGGGTATCCTCTAGGTATTATGGTGGCAACGAGTTCATCGACGAGAGCGAGGTGCTGTGCCAGCAGAGGGCCCTCGCCGCCTTTGGCTTGGACCCCAAAGAGTGGGGTGTCAACGTGCAACCTCACTCTGGTTCTCCCGCTAACTTCGCTGTCTACACCGCCCTCCTGCAGCCGCACGATAGGATCATGGTAAGCACCTGTGCACGGTCAAAACGAATCAATACAAAATCAGTGCTTTTCTGTTGTGGCATTGCTTCGTATCTTGTCCGCCAGTCGTTCAAGAGAAACGACAATGCACAAGGTAGATACCGGCAGGTGCCTAAAGTGACAGGCAAGCCACAGGGTAGAAGGAGTTTCTCTGGCGAAAGTCCATTTTATAAATGGGACGCCACCGATTTTTGCAGGGACTAGACCTGGCGCACGGAGGCCATCTGACGCACGGGTTCCAAACTCCGAAGCGGCGTGTTTCAGCCACGTCGGTGTACTTCGAGTCAATGCCATACCGGTTAGATGAGTCGACGGGGCTGGTGGACTATGACACGCTGGAGAAGAACGCAGCGCTCTTCAGGCCGAAGCTGATTATTGCGGGAGCAAGCGCATATGCCAGGGACTTTGATTATGCTCGCATGAGAAAGGTGAGGGCTTGTCAAACATCCTTGAACTCTTAATTGACAAAGCAAAGGGCTGTTAAGAGCTCTGCCTGCGGAGTCCGGTGGACAGGTCCGCCATACGTACAATCAGCGTATGTGGTTGCGCTGGTTCAGCATGGAGTTGATCACACAGATACAGATATGGAACTCAGTCAGCGGTCGCTCTTTTCGCACCAGCTTTGCTGCCTCCAGTGCTTGTGTCTCCCTCCAACTTGGCTAATCCAGTGTTGAGATAAAAGAAAGGGAGAAAAAGGTGGTAGCCCCCTTTGAAACTCAGCGAGCCTCGTGTTGGTCCTCAGATTGCGGACAGCATCGATGCGTTCCTGATGGCGGACATGGCGCACATCAGCGGCCTGGTGGCGGCGGGCGTGGTGCAGTCCCCCTTCCCGCACTGCCACATCGTGACCACCACCACACACAAGTCGCTGCGGGGGCCCCGCGGCGGCGTCATCTTCTTCCGCAAGACCGAGCACAATGGGATCAACATCGAGACGGCCATCAACCAGGCCGTCTTCCCGGGCCTGCAGGTGGCTATCCATCCGTGGTGCTCCCTGCCATCGAGGACAAGGACTCATAGAGAATTGCTTCTTGTCCACTTGTCTTTTGTCCTTCCGTACACTCGGTTGGCCCATAGCTACATGAGCCCGTTCGAGGATTCCGTGCCCTGGAAGTGAAGGTGTCGCACCCTAGGAGGTTTTTCAAGCATGCTCGAGGAGTGCTTCATGATCTCACTTTCAAGTCGTTGAGTTCTTAAAAGTATCGTCGCGGATATAGATGGCTGGGCTTTTCTGCTTTCGTCAGAGCCACGAATCTTCCCTCCGCTTCCAGTAAGGAGGTTGCCAAGTACAGCTCGTCAATCGATTTCCGGACGACGTTTGACGGACCGTTGATGTCCTGCTTCCTGGCAGGGCGGTCCCCACAACCACACAATCGGCGGCCTTGCCGTGGCGCTGAAGCAGGCGGCCACTCCTGCTTTCAAGGAGTACCAGCGGCAGGTGGTCGCGAACAGCCGGGCGCTGGCGGGGCGGCTGCTGGAGCTGGGCTACACCCTCGTGTCGGGGGGGACCGACAACCACCTCGCGCTCGTCGACCTGCGACCAAATGTGAGCCACGGACTGAAACCTTCATCCGCTCGCTGTATCCATGGATATTCGTGCGAGGCCGTGTGTTTGAGCACACTACTACCTTACCGACAGTTGAAGCCCTAGTTCTCCCCGCTTGAACTTCGTGTGTTCGTGCGACCGGCGAGATGTCTTCCGCCATCGCGTACTCCTCATGCATCTACATCCCGCGACCAAACGGTACACATTTCACGGCGTTATCGCCCAAGGAAGCGGAAATCAACGTCTGCTGCGTTTGCAGGGCATTGACGGCGCGCGCGTGGAGAAGGTGCTGGACCTGGTGTCCATCACGCTGAACAAGAACAGCGTGCCGGGGGACAAGAGCGCTGTCACCCCGGGGGGCGTGCGCATCGGCAGCCCCGCGCTGACCACGCGCGGCTTCCAGGAGGACGACTTCGTGCGCGTCGCGGAGCTCATCCACGAGGGGGTGCAGCTCACCATCAAGGCCAAGGCCAGCTGCCCCGGACCCAAGGTCAGTGCACCATACGCAGGCTGGGGGGCGAATCACAGTGCGTGCGGAACAGAAGAGTTGTACTTCTCGTTATGCTCCATGCGCTGTGAGAAGCGATTGAGTTGTGTGGTTGAATGAGTTGTGTGTTGGTATATTAGTGAGAAGCTGGAACATCGTGCATGCATCAGTCCCAGCATCATGTCTGTAAGATACACTTCACCACCTGTTCAACAGAATTTGGCTGTCAGCCGGAATACAGCAGAGACGTATTTCTGAAAGTCATCTTCCGCATTGTAAGCGGGGTTCTTAGGTGCAACCAAAGTACGTCGTGTAAAAATGTGGGGCTCCGGCCAAACTAAGACAAGCCACTTTGTGTAGAATTCCAGCATTGCGGTCTGCTATTTGCCTGCTGATGTGACGCCTTCTGACCAGGTGAAAGACTTCCTGGAGTACGTCGATTCCGACAGCTTCAGCGAGAGGGCAACGCTAGAGGACTTGAAGGCAAGGGTAGAAGCGCTGGCCACGCAGTTCCCAATTCCTGGGGTATGAAACTGGAGCCAAGCCAAATTGGAAGCAGGTTGTCTATAAACGATTCGAAAGATGAGAGGTACAGTTGTAGCGTCAGATAGGGCATTTATAACCAAAAGGTTCGATTACATGCGCTCTTCCGAGTTTAGAGACGATCCGACGCGTCAATAAGGAGCCGCCTGTTTGAGCTTAGCATGGCGCACCACCGCGTCCAATCACGACAATCTCAGGTTGATGTCTCCCTCGATCCGTAAGTTTCAAACATAGCGAATCAACGTATCTGTACATTATTTCCTTTGGTATCTCAGCGTGGAAGGCACACTCAGCACATAGTCACGACATTCGCCCTGGTCTTTCTCATGGCTGTGCACGCCAGAAACCCGTGGTGGAGGAGTGAGTATGGTCATTGCTGTTTCAATTCCTATATTTAAATGGCACATTTCACGACGTCCCTCTGTACGCGTGCAAGACAGTAATACACTTCGTCTACTTCTGTTGGTTTGGACTCATTGAGCCAGGTCCGCATGCATAACAGCCACCTTCCTCTGCGAGACTCCAAACCTGATCAAACTTCTCCGACCAATGATAGGCGAGCTCATAAAAAGCTACGCTTGCCTCCATTCCGCAATACAAGCTCAAGCCAGTGCGATGCACACACTTTCGCCTGAAAGAAGCCTCAACAATCTCCGCTTTGCGCGTATGCAACAAGCAGATCTGAAAGATGGAAATCCATGGACACAGGATAGCCAGCGACTGCAGAATGCAAGCTGGAAGCTCGAAGCCGCCCATCATGGCGCACCGCGAGAAGGAAAATGTCACAAGTTGGAAGTACAGGTGTGCCACTTGGGTGGCAGAACGCATCGGTGTTTGTGCCCAACACACAGGTCAACAAACCGTCAATCCCCACGGCCAACAACTGCCGATGCCAGACTATCTATCTTGGGCCGCAGCCATGTCTTGTTTCGTTTTTCCTATCACGTCGCGACTGGGTGTCCTTGCAGCTTGGCGATCTGCTCTAGGGCGTACTTGGATTCGCCCGCCCAGCTGACGGGCTGCAGGCTCCGCACCGTGATCCGCTGCCGCTTTTGGTCCATGTACTCCTGCACCCAGAAGCCCATGAGAAAGCGTCGAAACAACGACCTCGCAGACCACGAGCAAAAACCAATTTATGGAACCCTTCCTTTTATCCTCGTTTCGGAATCTCAGGACTGAAATACCCTCACTTAAAGCTCCACAAAGACCGCCTCAAACAAGCGCCTCTTGTCAACCTTTCCGAAAAGGAACTTCAACCCTCCGCCCGAGCGAGAAGTATTTTTGAACGTTGGAACAGGAACTGTCTGCGGAGCAAAGTGAGCTGGCCCGTACCTGTACTGTCACGCTCAACCGTGCCACGTGCTCCTTCCAGAGGGCCCCCTTGAGCGCCTCCTCATACTTCTTCTCATCCTGCAGGCTCGAACAATCGAAGTGAACCCTCTTTCACGAAACCCTTGAAACACCACTTACAGAACAAGACAGTCATCAGCACATCGAAGACCAGGAACCAGGATCGGATAGCATTGTCTGAGACGGCTTTCTCGTCTCTTTCTTTCTCAACAACTTCTGAGAGCCAAGTTCTGTTTTGGGGGAATGGAAGCCGCTCAACGGACGGCGCATGCGAACGTACCTGGTCCTTGATGTCCGCAAGCTGGTCGGCGGGCATGCCCAGGAGCGCCTCCGCCTGCTCATTGAACACCGACACCCACGCCTCGCCGCTCGAGTCGCCCACCTTCACGCTCACGATGTACCTGCGGCGCAACGAACGCAGGACGTCTCTCAATCGCGCCTCTCAGCTTTGTCAACATCTGAGAAAAAGTGGGCTCTCAAACAACAAAGCCCGACCGCTCAGCGAAGGCAAGTCTTGGCAGCTGAGCGAACCATGATGGCATCGACGACTTCCCGGAGACACCCAAAAGCCAGGGATAAGAGCCGGGGTAGATTTCTCACCGGCGCTTGAAGGAGTCGTATTCCTTGGAGCAGCCCTCGCACCACCAGCGGTTGCCGCCGCTGACCTCGGACACCTTCTTGGTGCAGCTGGGGCAGGCCAGGTACCACATCGCCTGGTCCGGCTTCAGCCACGTCGTCGAGCAGCGCACATTGAAGTACTCCATCTGGCAGGTAAGAGGGGAAGAGTGAGACGACAGGCAATTGAGCAAGGGAAGGGAAGCGTGCAGCAGAATCTAGAGACTGAAATACGAGCTGGACCTGGCAACCAACTATCAGAGAAAGAGAGCAAGACAACGCCGTCCGGGAATTTGATGGCCTCAATAATATGTTGATTGCTTTGTGCGGAAGAGGCATGAGGTCACGAGATTCTGAGGGTCGAAAATCAGCACCACAACGATAAGAGATGCGATTTCCACCACGTGCTCACCTTTCCGTCCCCCACAGTAGGTTCGGTGACCTCTTTCAGGAAGGCCCGATCATCGTAAATCGACCTTGAGCCGCCGGCACCCTTCGAAGCAGATGCAAGCCCCGCGCCTGCTGATGTCAGCGCCGCAGTTTTTCCTTCACCGTCATACCTGCGACAACAGTTTCGAGTTTGCTTTTTGAAAGTGCTGGGCAATAATTTAGCGCGATTCCATGCTTCTGAAAGGCGGAGTGGAAGTCTGCGGGTGGGCGCTCGAAAGGACAGTGCGAGTCGGCATACGGCAAAGGGGATTCCGATGCATGTTGAAACAGTGCACATGGCGCCGGGGCGACCAGTTGCTGGGCCAGAGTCGCCTCAGCTCGTTCAACTAGGAGGCTTACCATTTCCGGATCGCTTGTGTCTCAGGAAGGTCAGGGTTGATTAGAACCAAGCTCCGGCCAGTGGTGGAGAGCGAGACACCTGCAGACAACCAGCGAGATTACCCTGAGGCACGTGTGAAAGAGAGCCGCGAATCCAGGCGTACTTAAAAGCAGCTCGAAGTAGTGAAGGCTTTGAGGAAGAGGTACTTCAATATACTTATCTCTAATTCCCATAGGTCCCAGACATCAAATAGAGTTCACACGACTTTAGCCCTCATTCGTTCAACTGGTAACATTCTTCCTACGAGATGGAGGCAGGGCTCGGATTTGAATCCTGTCTCCTTGCAAACCCATTGCCTCCTGCAGTGGCTCACCCTGGTAGTCGCCCACCCGCAGTGAGCGCACAGCAATGACGGGGGCAGAGTCTTGAAGGGCCTCCAGCTGGGCACCCTCCTCCAGGGCCTGTTTACCCCACAGGGTGACAGCCACCGTCTTCTCACTGCACATAAAACCTTCTTCACGTCAGAGAGTGGGGAGGGGAGAACAACTCGGTTCTCTCTTGCAAACAAACGTGAGAGTTCAAGTGCATCGCTTAAATTACATCAAAAGCAAATGCAAGTTCAATCGCGCCTGAAATAGATCGCGGCTCTTCTGCAGAAAAGGTACCCCACCCACCTCTGGTCTGCCAGTGTGATCTCCCGCTTGGTCAATTCCTCTCCGTTGATCTTTCTCCTGATGGACGTGGTGGGAGCGGCGGACTTTAGAACGCCCACCACATCGATCAATTCCCTTCCCCCAACATACGGACCGAGTGCATCAAAGTGGACGAAGTTGTACTTGGCGGTGGGGATGGAACTTGGGCTCCCAGCGGTGTCCTCTACCTCCTCCACCTGCAGCCGGCTCGCTCCTTTAGTGGTGATCGAGCAAAATTCTGACTACCAGCTAAGACAAAACGGTGAAACAGCAGATTGACCCTGCCAGAATAACTCCACACTCGTTAATGAGGCATAAATTCCATTGCATAGCTGCTAGCTTACCCGAGAATTGGCTCCCAGATTGAGCTCGTACTCGTTCTTGACGGTTGAGAATTTCCGGTTGGCCATCTTGAGCTGCCCACCAGAGATGTAGTACACCTGGGAAAGAAGGTAACTTGTCAGAGGTGGCGGGAATTCTGCGACAACCGTGTCAGTCTTCGAAACAAGCAAAATAGGGAGCCTAACTGGCATGCCGGTGACTTGTCCGACAGCTGGAATGTCGCCAGCTCGGAGATTTGCCCTCACCTTGTGGAGCTGAAAAACTTCCCAGAACTTATCCGCCGCCTCCCTCCACATGGTAGCCTGGATCTCAGTGCCCTGCAAGTACCAAGAAAGCTTTTTCAGTGGTGGTACATGAAGATCAGAGCCCTGATCCGAAAAGAGAAATTTACAGAAAATCTTGAAAGCCTTACTCAGGATCAGATGGCATACTTAGTAAAACACTGGCAGACGATGTGATTCTTTGCTGCAAAGGGCACCACTCTGACCTCTTCATCCATCAGCTCAACACTGAAGACGTTTCCGTCGCCTCTGGCTGTCTTGAACGTGCGCATCGGCCCCTTGTTTGTCACCCGAACCTGGATTGTCCAGTTGCCCTGGTATGGATTTAGAGAAACGAGCGGGTAAACCCGCCTTGAACCAGAAGAGGCCATCCTGTTGGAAGCTGCGGCCCTGCAAAGCAAAGAGGACATGTTACGCCCAAGCTTCATGAACAAATAAACTGCAAGCAGGATCATCAATCCTTTGCTTACAGCCCTGACATTGGCTGCATGCCTTCTTTCATAAAAACACTAGGGACTGAACATGTATGCTTCTTGTTTCTTGGACTCCATCAACACAACCGGCTGGCTCACTTGTTTCTCTCTGCCTCCATGATCTTTGAAGCCGGCTTTGGAGTGGACATAGGGAAAGGCTTTGCTTCGGGCGTGAACATGGGGGAGGCAAGTGGAGGTGAAGCAGGGGGCGGGGTGGTATTGAAAGAGAAGCTGGGGGTCTGTGAAACTTTTGTGGGCGTCATCTCCTCTGGCTTCAAAGCAGCTGGTGCAGGCTGCGGTCCTGAACGGAGCTCTTGACCAAGGGAGGGTCCTGCAACCTCGCACTTCAAGCACAGTATGACCCTGCACAGGAGTGAAGATCTTCTGACAAAGTCTGACTGTAACTTGAAGACCAATGGGTATGTCAAGCTTCTCAAAGACATGTGCAACATTGCTCAGAACGCAGGACTTCCTTAAGACCAGATCAGTACACTGATCGGATGCGGCAATAGAGCAACACAATCAGCTGGAGGGCACCCCCAGCTACTCACTCTTCTCCATGAACCACATTGCAGACGGCCTCTTTGACGCGCAAAAGACCAAAATTCTGGACGGTCTTAGATGTCTCCACGTCGCTGGTCATTGTGCTTGGCAGGACGCCACGAATCCTGCTCTGCCCGTCGTTGGCAAGAAACCTGCAAGCATATGTTGGCCTTGCTTACGAAAGATTCCCCTGCTGAGCTTCTAGTGCACGACAAGAGCTGACATCCTGCACGGCTCATGATGCATGTTGTGGTATGTTATAGGCAGACTTGCAAACTTAGCTGAACAAGATGCACGAGACAAGCGTACCTGTACTTTGCAATTTTGCCTTGTGTCTTTTCCAGCTCGAGCATCTGCACGACAAAGCCATCAGGGAAACCCTTTTCGGAAGGTGGTATATTCTTCTTCAGGTACTCCACAGCACCTGCTGTAACCTGACCCGCCATGAATTCTCGCTGCAATGCAATCAGGTTGAAACACCTCGTATTAAACGGGGAGGAAGGGAGGACACACTTCTGCACTGTGCTGATCTGCTTGCACCGCTGTAGCTTAGTTAGCTTAGTTGAGCTGGAGAAGCTACCTCTGCTTATCTTTCTACTTGTTTGAGGCTCTGAGGGGGAATCTGAAGCTGCTAGAAGTCAGCCAGAAGCGCTAGGCCAGAGGTCAGAACACAGAAGCGCCGGCGGTAAATAGAACTTGGCAGAAGCCAGAAGCCAGAAGGCTGAAGCGCCGGCTGCGGAAGCCCAGGATGCCAGAGGCCGAGGGCCTCTGAGGGCCGAGGCCCAGGGCGGGTAGGAGGCCAGCTGCCTGCTTTTTGGGGACATTCGAACTTCAAAATCTGGCGCGAAGCCCGACCTCTCGGATGACTTGGAGACATTCCATCGAACGGCCTAGAGTAAAATGTGCTGACAACCGTCGATGCTTCAAATTGAACGACTGGCAGAGTACGCAAACTGTCCACTGACGCACGAAAAACGTCGAGAAATCAGCTGATATGAGCTTCCTATGAGACTATGAGCTTCCTAGGATATCAGCCCATATCAACTGATATCAGCTTCCTCGTCCCTGCTGGCACCAGCCTAGGAAGCTCAAGCATTAGTGAGAGTAGGTTGCCGCCGGCCGGCCATATAGGTAAGAAGTCCTATTGAGTATAAGTATATCGAATTTGAAACAAGGTGGAAACCCCGTGGAAACAAGCCCGAAACAAGAGCCTCACAAGACATGATCACGACAAGATTCGAAATCGCCTAACCCGGAATTCGGAAAAGGTTAAAAGATATGGTATTAAGTGGGAGTAAGTGGGATCTCAACAAATTTTGCCCTCTATTCCAGAGCTTACTAAGTGCTTACTAAGTGCGGTCTGAATTGATCATTGTCGCACGCGCCATTGTGTCGATGTGTGAGGGTTAAGTCATTCAACGACCGGTGTCGAACGGCAAGGCGGCCGCGAAGGTACATGCAGCTAGCCAACATTGCCGCGGGCTAAACTTTTGTGAGAATAGCTTTTTCGCATAGTAGGACCAGTGAGCCGCGGATGGTTGTCTATGACCGACCGATCGACCCATCGGCCGGCCTTAGTGTTCCTATGAAGTGCCTCACGGAGCATGTGCAAAGAAGGCGTAAAGCTCTGCCAGGGCGGCACCCCCTCCTTGTTACAATAACATTTCCCCCCCAATGCTTGGACGTGTCACCGTAAATGGATCTTACGCACGTCTTACGAACTTTCCTGCAGCGAGCACGCAACTACATATGCTGACGAGCAAGATAACGTCTTCATTAGGGGCAGACCGCCTCTACCTTAAACTCAAGCATCGTCTTAAACAGATCACCATTGCTTCACAGGCTCCAAAAGAAGCTCGTGCCTAAACATTCCCTACGAAAGGAGGTGGTTAGATCTCTAGATACAACCTCACGAGTTTTAGCCTAGAGAAGGGCACGTGCCATCTTTGGTCCCGTTGCCTCCGGTTCAGGCCCCGCCCTTTTCCGGACGCACGATTGGCCCGTGTGTCTGCCAGCTTCCACGTCGTCATCTTGCTCTCGACGTCAAACGACTCGAGTGCCAGTACCTCCTCATGCTCGATCAGCTTCGGCTCCGTTGACGGCCCCGGCTCTAGCTGGTCGGCCGAAACAGACGCAAGGCTGGGGTCCACCAGGCTCGCCCGCAAGCGGGCTTCTGGCACTGTGTCGGGATTGGAAGCTTCGCCTGGGGTATCATGTACTGGCTGGCTATCAGAAGGTGAATCGGTGGAGCTTTTGGCTTTGCTACCTTTCCGCTCTTTCTTCTCCTCGATCTCTTTCTCCGCCATGAAGCGGACCACCATGGGCAGGTCCTGGAAGCGTTCCAGATCTGCCGGGACTTGGACGACCCGCTCCGCGCCTGGAGACCCGACCTGCAACAGGTCCAAAATGTTTTTTGGAATACTCGTTAGAGTCGTAATAGAGTAGCGCACGAGTGCAATGAATGGCGGATAATAGGGGGTCTGGAAGATGGAAAAGTCTGTCGCGTTGCATAATCAATGCGTCAACGGAAAATTGCTGTCGCTTCTTGGCTCCTAGTGTTAGGCAGGTTATTGCACTGGCTGTAGGTCCAAAAGCTCCGAGTACTCCAAAGACTGGACTATCGAAGGAGCCAGTGATTGCTATCAATTCTACTCAGGCCATCTACTTCTCAGAGCCCTGGCGAAGCAAGCTTTCCCATGTGAGACTGCCTTTATCAAGTACATTGCAGTCTGGCTTTGACAAATAAGTTACTTGACCATGTACCAACAAGTCAACTGACGATGTTACTGCTTCTGATGTCAGCAATGATCAGCGCGAAGCCAGAGCTGCAGCCTTGATGGCTATCCAAGTCGATGCAATCGAAGCAGGTCCACAGATCTCATCCAATTGTTAGCTGTTCCATGCTGCGACCTTTTCCGGGCCCCACTTGTTACAATCAGCACAGCGGAAAGTACTGTTCTCAAGCAGATTCACACCAGTTGCATCGCCACCCATCTTGGGACTCACCTCTGTCTCAATGATGGGCAGCTCCTTCCTCTCGGTCGCCTCGTCCAGCTGCGTGTTATACGCCCGTGCAAAGCTCTGGATCTCCTCCATGGTGGGTGACCCGTAAATGTCCTCCAGCTTGTCGAGCCGCAGCTTCACCACCTCGAGTGCATCGTACGCCCGGAACGCATACAGCCTGAACTTGCCCGCAAATTCCGGGTAGCTTAACACCTGCTCTGCGTATTCCAGTGCTTTCTTCCCCCATTTTGTCGAGCCCACTCTGATCCCGCCCCCATCACCCCCGTCCCCAAGTTCGATCGGCCCCTCGTCCTCTGCCTCGTACTCCCAGCCATCTTCCGTCTCCCCGTCTAGCGGAATGTCCACCTCGTCGAGTGGAGCGATGCCTTCCTCCCAACTTTCGTCCACCTCTTCGCCGTCACTAACACCGTCAATCAATGACATAACATCCACAGCCTGTTCGGACACGGCTGCCTCATCTTCAGCTGTGACCGCTTCCACTCCTCCCTTGTCCTTCTTCTTAGCAGAGGGGAACCTGTTCTCTCTGCTATAAGAGTGGGCCGAGAAACAGGAAGCCTGCACGGAGCCCAGCCAGCCGCTGGACCTCATGGCAGTCCTGACGCCACATTGCCAAAATTGTGGCGTCTTCAGCCACTGAGGAGCCCGGACGCCACCACTCTTTGCTACGACCATTGGTCTAGCCTGAAGAAAGCAAACGGGTTTCTGAACCAGCTGTCCGCTGCAGGTCTTTCCGATGGGCAGCCATGTGCTTGAGTTTGGCAGCAGCCGCCTCGATGCCTGTGCTGCGGTGGTGCACGCAGGACCCATGATGGCCGTGCTGATGACACCCGTGGAACCTGGGAAAGAACGTTTACGAGACGGCCCAGGAGGAATGATCTAGGCATGCGACCTGTAAGTGCTAATAAGTGCTGAGAAGAGGTGGAGAATGCATGCAAGAATGCAGCCTGCAGCTGTGCAGACAATGCAGATGCAGGGCTCGGCATGCAAACTGCGACCGGCACTGCCGCTACGATGAATAACGGCAAAGAAAACGGGAAGAAAACGGTAGGTGTGCCACCACTCGTGTCGCCGGAACAAAACGTTGATCAGTCGTCGTGGGGCGCTAAATAAATAATGCTGCAACTTGCTTTTGAGCATTTTTGAGCGACCAACTTCAGCCACAATACAAGCAACCTTGCACGACCCTTCTTTTGCTGCTTTCTCAGAAGCTCAGAATCTCAAGCTCTGGAACTGGAATCACCACTGCCACTTCAGATTTCAAAGTCATGAGCCTTGAAACTTGAAGTCGAGGTACCAGAATTATCTCTCTTCTCCACTGGGGTGCTCCTCTCAGAGCTCTACCACAATACTATTTTTTGCGGCATGGCAGAAGATCTGCTATGTTGTGCGCGTCTGAGGGCTGGCAGCCTGCGGCCCACCACTGCCTGCACCTTTGCAGGGACCAAGTTGCGGCGATGCAGCCAACAAGCTGTCTCTTCAGTACGTGTGAATCATTGGGCCCAAACCCCAGCACCACCAACTAGAGTGCGCAGTGCAGCATTTCGGATAGAAACTTCTTCCTCTTTTAATCTTTGCAGTCCCAGTGCTTCAGTGCAAAGGTTAGCGGGTTGCAGTCTTGGTGACAGAAGCATTATAAAACCGAGAAGGGTCACGTCTCAAGCCTTGGGAGTGGAGGGAGAGTCAAATCAGCCGCAATCGGATGGTGGTAGTAAGTCTTCTGCAGCCCCGAGCAGCTTGCAGATTGGCAACCCAATTGTAATTATAGAAGCTCCACCATTTGTCAAGTCGGCTGAACCCATGCCGATGTTGCGGGAGAACAAGGGCCAGATCAAAGAGGGAGATGTTGGAAGGTGAGACAAGCATATTTTTCATGCTTTATACGACCTTTTTGCCATGGACAGTGATTGGGCCTTGTTGTTTTCCTCAAAAGCTCAAGTTCTGCGTGTGGAAAATGGAGGAGCCCCTGGTGATGACTACCAATGGACGGACGCTTCAGCATGCTTCCAAGAATCTTTTTGATGAACCTGCACCTTCTTATGCAGGATCATGGATAGACGGCCGAAGGGAGTATGGGCAATTCGCTTCACGAATGGGGCTTTCTTGGTTGACCGGAAGTACTTCAAGGAACTGGGCATGCAATAACGGATGAATTTGCACGATTGGTAAACATTCAACGAATTCTGGACAAATGTGGTGTTTGCTGCTGGTCACCATCTGATTTCAGAAAGTTGTCACTGCCTTCAATAATTTGGGTCTTGTACAGGAAAGTCTATGCTCGGTGGACCCATGCCAACATGTTCAGCATGTAGTCATGGATGCCGTGTGCTATGCCATGAAAGGGGTCGTATCAGGCCCATCATGCAAGAATGTTGTACTGCACATGTGGCTCAAAAAAATGTCTGCTGCGCGCGGCTGCTTGGCTCTAAGAAATCTGCAAATCACGAGATGGTGCATGCTATGATTCACATTTCATTTGATATCGAGGCACATCCTTACTCGGTTACTCACTTCGCGCACGCACGCGCAAACAAATTCGTATATACCATGCATCACATGGGAGCTGCGCATGATCACATGTACCCTACACGAATGTCGGGTGCCCAAACACAGATCCATATACCAATCCGCCAGAAGATACATCCAAAGCTTCAGTTGCTCGAGCATGGTTTGCATATGTCCTTCAAGTAATAGCCTTCCACCGAGAGACCGGTATGAGCGCACCACATCGTTCTCAAAGATTGAAGACTTTGCTTGCCTAGGCGCAGTCGCGCAGCACTCTGGTATTCACTGGACCTTCCAGCTGCCCGGCACGACTCGAGGACAAGCGTGCATGAACATCCAACCAACTGCTCACACCTGGTAACATGTGCATCGAGATAATTGTAGCACACCTCATCATGTGATTATGGACAGATGTAGTGAACATTTAAACACCCCGTAATAACAAACACTCTTCCAAAGCAATCAGGAAACAAGCTTCTGTCAAAAATCTTGTCTTTGCTGCAGCATCGCCTCCATAAATGCTGGCATGATTCTTGTGAGCGAAGGTAGCATGTGCGACGGTCCACTGAAGAGCTCGCCCCAGGGCCGCATGCCCAGGCCCGCTGCGGCTTTTCTACTTTGTGCGGGCTGTTTTGCTGCCGGCAGCTTCCCATAGATTGCTTCGTATCCAGACGGACCTGCAAGAACAAAGCGCTCATTCAGTTGCAATCGGAAACACAACCGAACGCGGCTCCAACGATTTGCGCCCAATCTTGGCGTCTGCTCAATTTTGTGTATTAAATCGACCAACGGGCTGCAAGCGGAGGCGAGTAACGCACGTGACGAAGTGCTTTGGATTGCAATCGTAGGTACCTTTGACCCGTGCCAAAGCAGTACCGATGACAAAACCTTGGCGGGATTTTTTTAGATACCACAACACTCCGAAAAGAACCATAGGCATCGCGAAGTTCGAGTTGCATAACAGTGCCGGCCCGCCGTGGTCCGCCCCTCACCCTCGGCTGCCTCTGTCTCCATTGGCGTCACCTCCGGGTCATCCACCGCCGACACTGTCGCCGTCTGCTCCTCCTGGTCCTTGTCCACCGACACCCGCACCAGCTCTCGGTCCCGGGTAGCAATTAGCAGCTGACTATCCCGAGACTTACCAGACCCAGGGGCGGGAGGGAGGAACACTAGAGAGGCCCCACCGGCCTGTCAAGTCGGAGACAACGTACGCGCTTGGGTCAGCAGTCTTACAAACGAACAGTGGACAAATCTTTGGACTTCGTCCAAAGAAACGGTAACGGGCCACTTCATGGGCATTGAGAATCATCTGAACGTCAACATTCTCTTCAAGATTTGCTGGCGGCTACAGAGGTGAAAGCACTGGGCTAAACATTCAGAGTGTGCCAATCAGAGCCATCTGGTTCACGCAAAGGCGTGAACTTTGTCAGAACGATGAAGATCGCCTTCTTCACAGCAGAGGGCAAGGGCGACCCAGTGCTCATAGCGAGTGCACGACAGTAAAACTGGAGGAAAACGCCCTTGCATCACATCGCGAGGACAGCTGGACAGACGGATCTCGATCGCAAAGCCCACGTCCACAACCGAAGGTCGAAATCTTGTCAAGGGCATAACACGCATTCCTCGGCCGCGCCTCACCTTTTGCAGCCTCCAGGCGACGAGCGGGGTCGGGCTGTGCGCCTCAAACGCCACCACGTAGCCCGCCCTCTCGCGCGGCCGGCCCTTTCCGCCGGCCTTCTTCCGCCCGACTGGCGCCGCTTTCGGTCGCTCCTCCGGATCCAGGATCAGGACGGCGAAGCGCGAGCTTCTGGGGTCCATCGCCAGCTCTGGAAAGAACATGAGCGACAGAGTCAGGCATGGCTGCTGGAAGGCAACAGCACGTCGAGTCGCCGGAAGAGCCGGTTTCTAGAGAGAGCAACCTTTTGCGGCTGTACAAAAACCAACCACAAGGTGGCGGGTTTTGACGGGAACGAGTGCCTTCCACAGTTCAGCCGAGTTTCTAACCACTGTTGACAACCCCGGCTCGGGAGAAACAGGAAAGAAGGGCGAGGGAGAAGGCGCTTCAGCGAAAGTCGTTACATGGTGTCCATCTGCACAACCTTGGTAACAAGTTTCAAATTTGCCGCACGTAAATCAGATCGACTTGATAACCCAAGCAGGGATTCGCAGAACCCATCTCATAGGGGCTACAAACCTGACCAAAAAGGGGACCGCTGAAAAGGCAACCCGGCAGCCTCTATCCTTTCTCCTCGGTTCTCTACCCAAATCACTCACCTTTGACTTGGAGGTGGTACGCCCACCAGACGCTCATCGTCAGCAGGTTCCACGCCACCAGCATCGGCCGCGCGCCTTTTCCCCGGGCAGTCAGCACCAAAAAGTGGGACCCGTGCGCAGACTCGACTCTGATTATGCTCTGGTCCGGGGAGAGCCCCGGCGGCAGCGCGCACATAAGCCCGCCCGAGACCGTGTTCCACAGAGTGAGCGTCTCGCCCGCACCCACCGCAAGAAGGGAGCCGTCCCACGTGAACGCGGCGCAGCGGAGGGGTTCGGAGCGGTAAGAGCCGACGGAGCGGCAGCGCCATGAGACGGAGGGTTCGGCGGCGGAGCGTGCAGAAGAGTTGGGGCCAGGAACCCAGACCTTGAAGTCGCCGTCGAGGGAGGTGGTGACGGCCATGCGGGCGGAGGGGTGGAACACCAGGGACGTCACGGCAGCTCTGCAAGAACGAGAGTTTTATGATTCACAAAACTTTAAGCCCGGCCAGACGGAAGACGGGGAGCACACGATGGCAGGAAGCACGAGTCAGCAGAGATTTGAGAGCGCTGAAAGACCGCGTTTAACACGACTGAAGGCTGCCTGATGCAATCAGCCCGCCAGTCTAGAACGAGGATGCGGCAGATACTCCCGCTTTGAAAAGTCTGGGGCTTCTCCACTTCCACTGGAGCAAGGGACTGAAAGCCGTCGGAGTAAGCACAGGCTGTATGTGTAGAAAGGCTCGCCGGCATGCCACTTTTCGCGACCTCTTATTCATGTTTGCAAGCCTTGAGATAAGGTGGACCCCTTTGTCCCATATTGAAGGCAGGTTCCGCGTCAAATAGGGCTTGACTCACGTATGTGGTTCGTCGACCCGGGTGTTGAGACGGTACCCCGATGTGCTCGCCTCTTTCTCCCAGAACTTGAGGCAGAGGCCGGAGCCAATGTTCTCCTCCGGTTCCATGGCATCGATGGTCACCAGCACAGACGCATCGGCGCTGAAGGTGGCGTGGGACACAACCACCTGCAGCAAAGACGGAACAACAGTGTTTTCAGCTGACGCCGGGCCTGAGTTTCGACAAGGTCCGACTCGATAAAGCGCAGCCCAATTGACTACATGGGGGGGCTCTGGACATATGGGGATAGGACTGCGGGCACCAAACACCGTATCAAGGGCTTCGGAAGCAGAGTAGTGAGCAGCGGAACCTATGAAAGCTTTCGTTTCAGCTTCAAGCAAGCAGAACAGAAACCACTTGACATCAACACGTTAGTCAACGAACACCTTTCCTACCGCAGGCGTCAAAATCCACAAGACCAGCTCGGAACAGGTTTAAGGGAGTTAGTCGGACCCCCTCGACCAATCAAGGGTTCTCGGTTTTCACAATACTAATCAATCATGCTGCTCTATGAATCGCCCCCCGCCTACTCACCGCTGGCAGCTCTTGGCCTTGCTTGGGTGGCGCCGTAAAGTTGCGGGGTGCCACCTGCAGCTCGGCCGCCTGTCGATCCCGGAACACATCGTACACTTGAAGGGTGGCGTTGGGGGACGGAAGCACCAGGCGGCCCTCTGCGGGCTCCACGATGGGAGAGAAGGACACGAAGGGGGTCTTCTTGGGGGTGGCAGGGGCGGGCTTGATCCCCTGGATGGTTTGGACCACCTTCATGGAGGCAGTGTTCACGAAGCGAATTGCGTTGTCTTGGCAGGAAACCTGCATTGAGCGAGACAAGATTGAAAGAGCCCATAAACACGGGGTGTTGGTTGGTCAAGAGCTGCCATTTTTGAGTTCTCCAGATTTTTACTTAGACAGCGGATGCTCATTTGAACCAGAGGTTATGCATCACAGACTCTGTTTGCCAATAGTGGTCTTTGATTGATTGAACACCCCCTGTGTGAATAGCAGTACAGAAGTCTCTTGCGAAGCTGCATGAAGCCACTTTACTACCACCTCCGTTTAACAGCCCACTGCAGCCCGGAAACTCACCGCAAACAGCGTTGGGTCGGGCATCCCGGCAATATATCGGATTGGCGCCCCCATGCGTGGCAGGAACTGCTTCACGCCAGTCTCGACCTGCCACAGCACCAGCACCGCCTCCTCCCCGCCCGACAAAACATACGCCCCATCCTCGCTGAACACGAGAGCCCCCACTGCATTCGCATGCCAGTGCCATGTCGAAAGTGCCGACGCATCGTCTCCCAACCGCACCCCCCCCTTCCCAAACCTCGTGTTTCCGGCACCCCCAGCACGCGGACTGCCGATCAGCTGGCCACTCGTCCGGCCCTCAAATCCGGCGCGCCCCTCCCTAAGTATTCTGCGGTGCAAGGCCTTGTCAGGCGCAGACGTGCTTGCTGCCTGGTCCTGGTCGCTCGCATCTCGAAGGGCGCCCACGTCGTACCAGGCCAGGATGCGCCCGCTGGCGTCTCCGGCCGCCACCATCGTTTCGCTTGGGTGGAACGCGATGTTGCGGATGGGCTGCACATAGTTCTAAAGAGTCTGCTCACATCCTTTCATTACAAAGCAGATAAGAAAAGAAGACTTGTCCTGAAATAAGGGTTACAGCGCGGAGCTCGGCTCAGTACAGTGTGGGCCAAAGTTGGCCCCACTAGCAAGCGCCTTCGGACCTTTGCCGATGAGGAAAGTGAAAAGGCAGCCACCGACGAGAAGATAAAAACTCGACCGATGAATTACATTACAAGGGCTTATATTCGCTACGTTCTTCCGCGCCTTCGAGGGGCGACAACCCAGGTGCCCACTTCTCAGCAACACCAACCGTGAGTAAAAATCCAGAACGCAGAATGCAAACTGAGCTCCGTCACCAATTCGAAAAGGCTCGATGGGGAACAATGCACAATCACATCAGCATCTGTGGTAACCTCCACAATTTATACCTGGTGTATCAACGATACAAGTGGTGGTGCATTAAGGAGGGAAATCAAAAGAACAAGACGGAACCAATTAGTGGTGCGCCAAAACAACATCTTACAGCCACTGTGACCACTCCTGACGACGCACCTTGGTATGGTGCAGGCGCACTTCCTTGTTGTCGGCCGTCCTCCACACCAGGACCGTGTGCTGGTCGTACGTGCCCACCAGGCCCCCCCGCAGGCTGTCCACCAGGTGGTGCGGCTCATTTGTCCGCGCCAAAAAGGGCAAAACAATCTCGCCCTTCGCCAAATCAAACTGCAGGACGCGCCCCGACCGCCGCCCATCGCTTCCGCTGACGACAGGTTTACCATCCTCCGGTTCAACAGGGTTTCCTTCTGCATCTCTGTGCTCGGGGACACTAATATGAGAGCCATCGCCCATTCCTTCCCGGTTGCTGTCATCTTTACTCTCTGGTGCGCCTGTTTTCTTCCCCTTCTTCTTGACTTTTGGCTTCTTCTGCAGTTTCACCGATGGCCCCCTTGCCTGCGGGGGCTCCTGCCCATGCTTCCACCACACCGACAAGTATGCATTCCGCCCGTACGCAGCCAGACCCCGCCGATCTCCCAAGCCTGGCACAACCATTGACTTGATCGGGTAACCCACCGTTACCGTCCTCAACATGCTGCCCCTCACATAGTCCCACTGCCTGATAGTGCCGTCCAGAGAGGCCGACCATGCCTGCGACAGCTCCCCCGCCCCCTGCCCACCCTCCACCAAGTTCCCACCCAATTTGAAACCCTCGATAACAATCGCAGTGACCGCTGCCGAATGGCCCTGGAGGATGAGTAGCTGCTCGCCAGTGGCAACACTGTGGACTCTGATGGTGGTGCCGCTGCAGATGAGGCATCGCTTTCCATCTGGGGAAGGCACTGGGGGATGGCTGACCAGACGTCCACCTCCTGTCGCCATCGCCATCGCCGTCCACCTGAAGACCTGATTTACCTTGCAAGACAGGACTTCACCACGACCCTGTCGACGCGCCCCTCATCAATGCCGTGGCATTCTGCAGAAGCGCACCAGAGTCTGAGATGGTCATCAAACCAATTACGCCATGGCTCACAGGCAAACGATATTGAGTGTCTCACAGACAAGGCAGCTACAGGCTTGACAAGCTAGCACGGCGCGAGTGCACCCGCGCGCCCAACTCGGTTTATAGGGTTTCAAGTTTAGGGTTTGTTGATAAACGGGGATCACCCGGCGTGCGCGCGTAGTCGGCCCCCAGGCCCCGCGGCCGCGGGTCACCATGCGATGCCGGGCATGCGGGGGCCCCGGGGGGCCTACACTATGGACGGTGGGCCGGGCCTTTGGGGCCCACCGCCCGGCGCGCAGGCATCACGCAGGGCGGCAGGGTCCTGGTGACCACAGTGGATCACCAGCCCGGTGTCATCGGTACAAGTAACGACGACCAGCCCGGTGTCTAGAAAGTGACCGGTCTGGAATACCTTCACCCGCCACCCGGGCGGGCCCTATAATGTAAGTTTCATCGATCGGAATCGGACGGCAGCCCTTGATTGTGGGAGCGTAAGAAGATTTGGTGGATGACTTCCCGTGATTGGCCAATGAGCGGCCAGCTGCCGGCAGCTCTAGCGAATAGATAAGCAGCTGGGGGTTCGTACGGCAGGGTTGCATCTCCTAGTCCACTTTATCCATTGCGGAAGCAAGCAATCTCCGCAAACAGAAAAGCCACTGTACGCAGCAGGCTTGCTTCCTTCTTGCAATCGGACTTGAGTGGACGACAGGGGCTCGTGAGCTTGTGCAGAGCATCTCCTTCCTTCTGCAACCAACTGAAGACGCCATTGTCGCCAGGTTCTCCTACGTTCCTGCAAGCGTTGCGAGATGGCTACCGCTCTATCTGCTGCTCTGAAGTCCTCTCTGTTCGCTGCTCCTTCAGTGAGCGCGGCAAGGACACAACAGCAAAGGAGGCAGACGGTCCGGTATGCTAACATCAGAGCAGGAGAGGAACCCGTAGATGCACAGCCCTCGGCGAAGCCTGCAGAGAAGGCTGCACCCAAGCCTCAGATTGGACCCAAGAGAGGATCCATGGTCAGTTTTTTTCCTCGGCCAGAGGACCTGCCTACACAGGAATTTCGTTGTGAAATGAGCACCCTTATCGCCCTAAGGGAAGATGGACAGAATATTGGGACACATGGAATGGATTTGGGGAATTAACAGAGCCACTACTAGTGGGTCGCCCATTCCCAGACAGCTGCAAAAAAGTTCTTCTAGTAGGGATATCAGCATGACACAGAGCATTTGACTTCGTTTTCTTATGCTCGTTCAACTGGCGGGCAAGTGTCATTGGAGTACTGCATCATGGTGAATCATGAATGGAAGCAGCTGGACATTCTAGCATTTGCATTTGAGGCTTTTGCGGGTGGATTTCGTCTCAATTTCAGGGTTTTGTGGTGGAACTTTTCCCATTCTCAGGGACCTGCCCTTCTGCTCTATGTTGCTCTTGGTGACGCTCTTTAGTGAGGCATGGTTGGGCGGCAATGGATTCTTTGAAGCCCCTTCTGACCTAAGAGGCATCATCCTATCTGGGCCATATTTTGTCGGTTTGTCCTGAGACTGGAGATGTCTGGCCTCTGTGTTCATCTGTCTTTGCTTTTGCACTGCATTGGTTTCCCTTTAAAACCATATCAGCTGGAGAGTTTGAAAGGTCAACAGGCCACGCACAAAATGCTGTCGTTTCAGAGACGGATAAACGCCCACCTGTACCTGGTACAGGCTGCACTGCCCACCTTTTTTTGCTGCATTCAAAGACCGCATTTCAGGGGAGGGTTTTAGATAGGTGCTGCTTTTGATGGATGGTTGAAAAATGTCATCTGCCTTAAGACTCATTGTTGTCTTTGTTATCAAACTGCAGGTGAGGATCAAGCGGCCAGAGTCGTTCTGGTACCTGAACGAGGGAAAGGTTGTGTCCGTTGATCAGGTGAGGAAGTTGCTTGTTTGTACGCCTTCAAAAATGCGTTCTTCAATCCCTGTCGCTGTCTGTTCTTCACAATGGATTCCTTGTAGCTTCTTATGCAGTCTTTACTCGTTGATTGGCATCTGTCACATTGCCCCTGATCTGGGATGTTCATTTCGACCTTCAATGAGTTTGCCAGTCAGCTCACGCCTTACTCCTCTCTTGCAGTCCGAAGATAAAATCCTGTATCCCGTTGTCGTGAGGTTCGAGAGCCCTAGCTACTCTGGGGTCACCACAAGCAACTATGCTCTTGACGAGGTCGAGGAGGTATAATGGATTTGGGCACTAAAAGTTCTTAACATTAAGCAATCACAGCACAGGAACAGAAGGCGGGGCTTGAAACATACAATTTGGGCTCTAGTGTAGATAAACACGACTCTTTGAGCACGGAGTTGTCCAGTTCTGCCTCTCTTCGCTCTAGCACGGGTCATACAGCCAGGTCGTTTGGCCCCTCCTAGATGCGAGAGATAGCACAGCAAAGGATTCGCTGTTGAAGCTCGGCACATTTTGACGAGTTGCTTAGGCTGCTGTGAGAATCCAACCTGTCAATAGAATCCCTTTACTGAAATTGTCTCGCGAAGTTGATTTTGTCCCACTTATTGTTGCAAGCTCATTGCCGCGGGTTCTTTATCTTGCCTAAGCTGTTGTCGTCTGACCCCTTTGAGATTCACAATTCGAAGCTTGGAACAGCAGCCTACAGTTGTGCAATACTCACCTAGCAGGCCCGAACGCTTGAGCCTCATAGAGAACACATCATGCCCTAATTTTGTACCTCATGAATGGCACCAGCACTGCATGGCCTTCCAATGCTGATGCAGTTCCTGATGAGTGAGAGGGCTGTAGCAAGTTCCATGTGGTGCTACATGATCCATATGCTTCTGCTCATGTTATGTCTGCATGACAACAGCGTACCTCCTCATTGGTGAGATGCGCGGAGAATTTCTCTTTTACACTGGCCTCCATGGTCCGAGGACTACCATGGTACTGATGACAGACCGACTACGCCGCTGAATTGGCAATGCTGTCATTGTTGTACTCGCCCCTGAACACACTTGATTCCGTCACCATGGGCTTCGAAACTCATGGCTCATTGTCGATCAACGATCGTGGACCATCTTCAGTACTCTAAATATTGGTTGTTGTGCTTTGCGGCGCGTCGGCTGCATATGACCGATCGATCTGTCAATGTACATAATGATGTTCTCTTTTCAAATGCCGTAGCCACATGGGCCATCTAGGCTTCCATGGCACATACAAGGAAATCAATGCTCAAATTTTGAAGATGATCATGTGAGCAGCCCACTAGGCTCTTGCAAAAGGGCATGATGAATCTTGCACCTTAGGAGAATGATGTCCTTGTAGCAATTTCCATGTATACTGAATGAATGCAGGTGAAGGATGCAAAGATCCCAGAAACCACCTAAACATGACTTAGCAACGCTCATTAACCACTTTGAACTCGAGATGTTGAAGATATAAGCCGTTCAATGAACTTTGAAACGTCTTTTCCGTCGCATGCAAGGCATGGAGCAAACTGCCAAAAACAACGGACACGAAATTGTTTTCAGATCAGTAGCCCACTCGCGAATGAGTTCACCATTCTGGATCATTCAGACTTACAGTCATCAGCACGACTACTTCCTGGTCCTCCTAATCAACTTTACTTAGGCCATTGCTTACTGCTTGCTCTCTAGCAGCTCCCTTTTTGACATGTACGTATGGCAGGCCCCACCAATACACCACTGTTGGATTCCACCGCAATTGTGAGGCTCGACAGTATTCTAGGAAGGTTATTCCGTAATAGGAGTTGAAGCCCATGAACACATGCCACCAGGCATGCCCCTGGGGATTGACGGGGAAACTTTGTAGAAGGTCACAAAACGATCGATCTACAAGCCAGCATGCTACCCCAAGGATAAGCGTGTAAATGTACAGCTCGGCTACGTGCTGCGCCACTGGGGAGTTGCAGTGGAGGTAGTACTTATACATCCGTGGAAGACAGAGCGACACAAGGAAGGCGTAGTGGATCTGGAAACCAATCACAAAGCGGAATTGCGAATGGATGATGGCAAAGCACGTTCCGTAGAGGAAGAGGAAGATCGGCATGGCATTTGTGTAGTGCCAATCTGGGGAGAAGAGGACGTATATGTACACCAGGATTGCCCAAACCATTGGGGTCTCGTCACTTTGTTGCTGCCTGCAAGACACGGCAAAAAGAGGCGGATATCTGGATCGCTTCCTACCTTGCTGAACATCACACGTGGATACAAAGACACAGTCACTATTGTAAATGCTTGAGGGAAGGGAGATCTTTCAACACAAAAGAGCAGATTGGTCCAATCAATATTGAGAAGACAGCCCGCTTCAGGAATGCAGAGTTAGAGCAGGCCAGGCAACTCATGCTTTCCGCCACACAATTAGCTGAACTGGAACACAGAAACCAATCACTCAGCAAACAGGGGATGCAAACTTACACATGCTTCAATGTGGCATGAAAAAGAGCGCTTCCAATCCCGATTGTGACCATCATGAGCCAGAGGATGCTGAACCGCTTCTCGAAACGCTGCCGGATGGCACTTGCTAGGCCAATCCCCGCAAGTATGATCATTGGGATGTTTGTTATGCAGTTCCAAAACTCTGCAAAGAAGGTGCGGCCTTGTGGTCAGTAGAATGCACCAGCAACGGGACTTGTCACAACAGGCCAGAGTGCCTAGCAGAGCATGTTCCTACGTTTAGGATTTTCGAAAAATATAAGGAGCTATGTTTCTGCACCGCTCAATGCACAGCACTTGAGTCAAAAGGCAGCGACGAAAACTCCTCACCTGCTATGTAGGGGCTCACTGCATAGTTCTGCTCACACCACTCGATGCTTCCTTTGCTTGCCCCCCAGAACGAGTGTAAGGCAGCCATCTTGGATGCAGGCTGTGAAATGTTACTAATCATCCGACTCCTTCATCCGCCCTAACAGTTTCGCTCTGCTTGCGAGTCTCCGTGGCCTTAATAGGCCCCATGCAATGACACTAGCCTCATTTGCCCCAAGCTCCCAATTCCAGCTGGCGGCACATCAAAGTCAGCACAGAGTTTCCAAACAATGGTTACATGCGGCCAAGCTGCATGCTAGCAGACTGGCAAGATTCACAGCTGCTGCTGGCCAGGAATTCCACCAGAGCTCGAGGTTGGGGGAACTCTTGCTTCCTGGATTCAATCCAACTACACCAAGATCGTCTTTCGAGCTGGCGCTCCGGTGCGACTCGAGAGTGAAGAGCATTTGCAGTTTGATCATTCAATCAAAACCCCCTCCGTTTGGAAAAGACTTCGGTGCTGCATGTTCGTTTCGCGCCCTGCCGAGTTGTTCAACGAGATGCCCCCTGCCCTTGCGCTGCCAATGCTGCAATTCCGAAACCTGCCTCTGACTCTGACTCTGACTCTGACTCCGAGTAGGAGCGATCTGAGGTGCTGCACATGGGTCTTCAACGATCGGTCCGGTCGCCACGTAGAAATTTAGGCATGGGTGTTGCTGGGACGAAGAGCGTGAAAATGTCCATACGATGCACACAGATACAATCGTAGCCGTCCCATCCGGCGATGGGAGTCCACAAAGTGGTTACGTATTGCCAATTGGATCTCTTGGGTCGAGCTTTTGGGAAGTGCTGGCCGTTTCTGCATTGTAATTTGACAAGGGATGATGGTGGCACCAGAGGCTGAAGCTGCATTCTTGATTTCGAGCATCTTACAAGGAGGGTGCACAAGATAGAGACAAAGAAGTCTGATGTCTTGTCGTAGTATATGAGCAGACGGTGCGTGAACAAGAGCATGTGTTGTCACTCCAAACAACGAGAGCGGCGATCATGTTCGTACTTCAGAAGGAAGTTGGGTGACGGCAAGCAAACCTGGTGCCTTTGGTGCAATTTGGTTTTGGTAGTCCTGAAGTGTGGCTTTCGTGGTCCATGGTATATCAGCCAAAGGGGGACAGCAGCTTCCTTCTCCTTGGTGAAGCGATTGAAAATTTTCTCAGATAAGCTTTGCTCAGATGGCGTCTACAGCAAAGCAGCAGGCAGAGAGTGCGAAGGAGAAGGGCAACTTCTTCTTTCGCAAGGAGAAGCTTGGGGCTGCCATTGAAGCATACACGGAGGCCATCGTCCTATACCCCACCAACGCAGTGTACTACACAAACAGAGCCCTTTGCAGGATGAAGAGGAAGTAAGTCATTGAGTTCTGGCACATCGTGAGAAGTGGCGAAATCAGGAGGCGAACAAAAGTTTGCATGCCAAAGCAAGTTTGTCCATCACAATACCCGCTTTGCCATGTTGATTCCAAGTGCCTGATGGAACATGGACTTTCAAGCACAACAACTGTCAAAGTGCGTGCAAACGCTGGATGCCGCCTCCATTGCTGCAACCGCCGCCATTAGTGACACCCTGCTTAAAAGCTGTCAAAGGTGCAAGACACGATGATGCAGCCAAGCGCGTCGGAGAGCAGGATTCTTTCAATCTTGTCCATCGCTTGTACCAGCCTGTAACTTCCTCATTCCCCCCGTTAAGCCCGTCCCTTATGTCGCTTGCCCCTTCCTAACATACACTTGGTTTCGTGAAGGTGTGAGCCCCTTTCCTTTCCATCTGTCCAGCGAGTGGCCAGACGTCGCAACCGACTGCCGCAAGGCCCTGGCACTAGACTCTGGCAGTGTGAAGGGGCACTATCTGCTGGGCCTGGCCCTGCTGCGCTCCGACGACGCTGACGAAGCGGTGCGCCATCTAGACAAGGCACTGGACTTGGCGCGGGGGGGCAACGGAGGCCTTACCATGGTGGAAGTGAGACTCTTCCCTGTGTCTGCTAGCGTCAGCTATCCGCTCTCTCGACCCCCTGCCTCTCTGATTGTTCTCATGTACTTGTCCTTAGTGTCTCTTGATTCGTTTCTCTATCTTTTTCTCAGCCTCCCGTTTTTCCGGATCTTGGCCCAATGCAAATCCGTCCTTCGGTTCCAGGATGTCTGGCAGGAGCTGTCCAATGCCAAGTTCAAGCAGTGGGACATCGCAGCCGCAAAGAGGCGGGAACGCCAGAGCGATCTCAGGTGAGGGAAAGGAAGAGGCTTTAGCAGGTGGCTGAGCATTTGTCAAGAGCCCGGGAAGCTTTCAAAGTTTCTCTACTGGACTTGAAAAGAGGCAGAAGCACAAAACCACCTGCATGCTTGCAGGAACTTATCGCCTGGATATTTCTGTTGTCCAACCAGCGACGCTCCTCTTCTAGAGGCTTATTGTTGCTTGAAAAGGTTTGCCAGAAGCATCAGGACTCGAACTCAAAGGATTGCCGTGTGATTTTCGCAGTGGTGCGATTTGTAAGCTGAAAGTTTGGGTGCCCACTTGCCCCAAGTATAGCCATCAGGCACGTACTATTGAAAGAATCACACACTCCAAAACCGATTCCTTTCCAGGAACCGTTTGCGGAAAGTCCTGCTGGAAATGAAGCAAGGAGCAAGCAGAGCGGAAGGGGCCCCCATGGACATCGATGCTTCCACCAGCAATGAAGTTGAAGGTAGGATACAGGGGCGGGGCTTCCGAGCCCCGGTGGTCAACCTCGAAGATAGTGACGATGAGCCCCAGCCAATGAGCCCATCCTCGCCATCGTTCGAAGCAGGGCTACGGGAGATGCAAGCAACGCTCGCAGGGAGGGCGGAACCCAGAAGTCAAGAGTCGGAAGCCAAGAGTCAGGAGGGGGAACAAAGTGGGGGCGTGGAAGTTGAGGGGGGCGAAAGCAGTGAACGGGGGGGTGGACGCTCCAGAGAAGCGCCGTCAACCAGTGGGGCGACGGAAGAAGCGGAGAGGGGGGGTGACAAGGGACGCAGGAGAGAAGGGGGTTCTTTAACCGAGAAGGAGCGAATGCAACGGGACGAGCAATACGAGCAAGATGTAAACACACTCGAGAACGTGTTCGACAAGGCCGGGGCGCCGGATCGACCAGGAGAGGTGAGCTTTCCCAAGTTCAAAATGGATTTACCTTCGGATTTACCTTCGCAGAGAGAAAGTAAGAGCAGTACGTGGACTTGAGTTGGTCTGAAAGTTGGGTTCGGGTGGTCGACTACTTAACAAGACTTGCTGAATCCAAATCTTGATTCGGGTTATGGATGATGGTGGATGCAAGCCCTCACGAGCAATTGTGGCTCCAGTTAAGATCCAAATTTGAGAGCTTTGCGGAATCACAATCCACTTGACTGCTGCACCATGAAACTCGGCCCGAATCTGATCCCCTTCTGAAGCACAGCCTGCGCTCAGATTGATATGCAATTTCGGCGATCATAGAAGGCCGTTTGAAAGCTTGACCGTCGGACAGTTTCGGGCAGGTACCGGATCATTTATGCTGCAAACTGACCATGGAAATCTTTCGGGATCCTGTAATAACCCCAAGCGGGGTCACCTACGAGAGAACGGCAATCCTGGAGCACTTGAAAAGGGTGGGCCGATTTGATCCCGTGACTAGGGCTACCTTAGGCGAAAAGGATTTGTCTCCGAACCTGGCCTTGAAGGAGGCTGTTCAATGTTACTTAGAAGAGCACGGGTGGGCTTACAAGCTGACGTGACGCGTAGCTCTCAAACCAGACGGTGTTATCCAGGGGATGCGCCGGCCTGCAAGGAAATTATAGGTGGCACACGCGGTGCTGCGTAGTGTGTAGAATACCGTTCTGGTAGGTGTGACTTTTGTAAATTAGTCAAGGGGCCAAACAAATCGTCCCACCAGCTTTCTAACAGGTGTCTAAAGTTGCACAACAAAATCGGAGCTAGATCTGATCAGTTGGCCGTTGGTGTCAATGAGCGGCCAGTTGCATGATCTGCAGTTAAGAACCTACGTGCTGCCATGCCCGGCTGTTCCTTGAATCGTAGCCACCACGAGCTGAGCATTGGGATTCCGGGTTGCACGTACTCTGCTCAAGAGCTGCCAACGTGCACGCGTCACGTAGGCAGCCGTCAATATCTTACACTATTCTAAGTTCGCCCCTGGTAGCATGTGTACGTCGATCACCCAATCGATACATTTCCCTGCAACTCAATAGCGTGACGGGTGGCAGCACACTTTGCGGGCATCAGTACGTGCATGGCCGCCTTCAATGCAATCTGAGTATCGTTGCACGGATCATCGACTGGACGTGGCGTATAGGCTGTATGAAAGATTGCACTGTGTGTTATAGCTATAGTTTGTATACCTGCCTCTAAGTAATTGTCAGTGCATTTTTATGCGTGTAAAAATGCGTCACCTTGCAGGGTTTAAGTGCTGTACATTACCTCCATAGGCATGGGCCGCGCGCGCAATTTGACCCGCACGAGCACAGCATGACAGTGTTAATTGGTTGCAAACAATGCTGCTATAAGGCCTTATGGGTTGACAGTCTATTAGTATTCCGCCATGATATATGTCTCTTTGCATGTTCAACGGTTGCCAGTGGTTAATTGGAGACGAGTTTGGATATAAAGGCGCAGCTTGAAGAGGGCTTGGGACCACAATGGTCCGACATCATGTGGGCGGAATGCACATACAGGTGCCACTTGTCTTCATGCGAGATAGGGAGCAGCGCAAAGCCTCATGTAAAAAACGACTACTCTTGGTCTGTCTTTGCACAGTCTCGGAGCCAGGGAGCCAAGTACTGCCAGGGCACAATCAAGCGTCTCTCAAAGACTCGTCTGGACCGCGGCTCTGGACACTCTGACTGTCGCCCGACTTTCTCCTGTCGACCGCTTGGTCGTGCTTTATAGGCTGCCGGACCTCCCGCGTCTCCTCGTCCTCTGACGAGGCACTCCCTTTCAAGTACTTTCCATCGTTTTCATAGTCAATCGAACTCGGCGGCAGAGTGGTCGGCCCTTCTCGCTCCTCCTCCTCCGCCACCTTCGCCAGCGCGCCGCCCCGCTTCCCGGCAGACCCCACCTCACTCAAAACCTCTTCCTCTTCCTCGTCCGTCGTCTCTCCGTTCCTCCGCGCCTCATCATCCTCCAAATCTTGCAACTGGAACGACAGATCCCGTTTTACGCTCGGCCCCTCCACCTCCGCCTGCTTACGTCCCGCCGATCCTTTTGCTTTTTGCGGCCCGGGGCTTCCAGCGTGGTCACCGCTGATGCTGGTGGTCGGGGAGCGGCTCTCCGGGCTATCCGCCCGGCTGACGCGCGCCTTCTCACCGCTGACGTCAGCGACGTCGGCCTCATCCTCGTCCTCGGAGTGCTCCACCGGCGCCGCGGCCGCCTTCGCTTTCGCGGGTAGCGGCGAATCGTCGTCAGACTCTTCCTCGCTCTCCTCGTCCGCCTCGCGCAGCCACTGGCGGACGAACGGGTTTTGTTTTAGCGGAAAGTTCGTCGTACAACTCTAGGTTTTTCATCCATGTAGCAACGGTTTTCAATTAGCAACTGCCGACACCCGATGCAGAGGACCTATGTCCAGCATGATCATCATCGCGCTGGATCTGATTCGCGAGCCTTGATAGCAGTTGCGTTCATATCAATTGACTTACTGCCATTTGGTTTCTGGTACGTTTTGGCAGATCCTGCCAAAACTTAACCATCACCGAAGAGCCTCAGAACAGCCTCGGTGCGTCTGAACAGGCGACTGTCCGTATTTCAGCACCAGCTTTCCTCAAACATTTCAGCAGGGTCTAAGGTTACGACCAAGCAGTAAGGAAATGCTACGGAAAAAGACAACCCCGCGCCTCGCAGAGCTCCGCTCTTCTTTGATAGATCGCAAGGCTCATAGTTGTTCACTTGCAAAGCTCATACAGCAAATTCCGAACGTGTACAAAGGACGGGGCCACTGACCGTGAGGAAGATCTTGCACTGGTTGAGGTACTTTTTGTCGCTTTCATCCGCGTATCGCTTCTCGCCCTCCCACTGAAACAGCCCCTCCTCCGAAAGCACGTCCTCGTCATATAGCAACTGGGCGACCTGCAAAGAGGACACCCCTTGCATTGGTCGCCGCATGATGTGTGCACAGACAGTCTGTAGCTGCATGCACGTCTTCCACCCGCGTCCTACGCCGTACTTCCAGCGCCGTCATGGTGCTCAATATCGCCACCACTCTAGTTTCACTTGTGGCTCTGGCTGCGGACGCAAGCAATGTCAGGACAACATGCTAGTCAGCAACTCCCGCTAAGTGGATGCTTCTTCAGATAAAGGAGAGACACAAAAGCAAACATAGAAAGGCTGAGGTACAAAGTATTGCATGCATCGCTTCACCCATCACGGTCTGGCACAGAACAGAGCTTCAGAACGTGAAAGCAATGTGCTCTTGGTGACGAATGAAGCGCGGCGCACCTTTGCAAACAGCGGGCCGAAGTCCCGGGTGGGCTTCTCTTCGCAGGCCTCCTCCAACGTCAGCAGCACCTCCGCCTGATACACACCAAGAGCGGAGCTCAGGATGCGTGAACCCAGAATCGAAGGCTTTCACAAATCACACGAACCTGCATGCGTGAACCTTGACGGCATCCGCTAGGCAGGAAGCCTTTCCCGTTCCAAGGATGGTGAAGTTTATCGGCGTCTGCCCTGCAGCCTCAACTGACGAACCGAACTTCGTCTCACCAAGTAATGAAACAAATGGTTCTCTGACATTTTCAGACAGACGACTCGTCCTCCCCGACAGTATATTGGCCCAAATAACTCATACGCGACTTGACATCCCCAGCCATGCTATCAGGCTTTGAACCTGCTATCTCCGCAAAGTGCACGACGCAGCGAAGGCGCCTCACCTCGTCCTCCTCGCCCGTGAGAAACTTTTTGAGAAGCGAGCCCCATTGCGTTAGCAGCTTCTTCAGCGCCGTCAGCGTGGCAGCTGGACAAGCAGACAAGCAATAAGCTGCGGATGATTGTGCCACGGCTAGGACCAAGAAAGTAAATCTTGTCCTCCTGGATAATAACTCTCGAGCGCCTTCGTCAAACGCCATTCTAAAAGTCGTGGATCTGCTCGCTAGCCACGACACGAAACAAGGCAGACGCAGCATTGAACGTTCAAGTAGGTCAAAGTGCAGGCACGTTCTCACGTCTATTCTTCGACGAAGGAGTTGAAGGAGGTCGCATAGATGCAGTCCAGTCACTTGGTACTGCGTCCAGCGCAACAGCTTACAACCTGGAGTTTATAATTCTCGCTTGTATTCATAGTGACAAGAGCACGAAAGTGATCGCAGCGTACCTGGTGAGGCGGGCTTGCCCTCGAGCGTCATGACGAGCATCGTCTTGAACACCCCGCTCGCGCACTCGGCGAACGTCTTGTTGTAGGCCAGCCTGCAGGCACGCACACGAGAGCTGCTGAATTCAGAACGTTCAACAAGATGCTCTGGCATAAGTTTTCACGGGTCCCTCCTTTGGACTAAACCTGAGCAGATTGTTTGTCGTAGGCGACGGAAGGCCGCGTGAGGTTTGCGAAATGACGATGAGGGCAGAATATGAAAGACGATTGAGAGATGCCGGTTCCCCCAAACGACGGACAACAGGCCATATGATCTACTAAGCTTGCAATCATTGTCTCCGTCTGTATGGAAGGGTCTACAGGGTTGTGTGAGTGCTCACTTGAGGCCGTTGATCTCCAGTTGCACGTTCTCCTGCTTGATCTTCTCTACCACGCCCCGCCGGAACGTCCCGCCCACCTGCCAAAAGAGACGCTCGATGAGGCAGGCTGCAACTATAAATTTTCGCTGTGAACTTTCCGTTACAAGCCTTTGAAAGGATCCAATGTCCGCTTAGCAAAACCTTCAGACAGGTAGAACCAAGCTCGCTGCTTGGTTCCAATTTCTGCTGGAGAACGAGACAGATGTCAAAACCAATCCCCACGTACAAGTGAGTGCAAAAAGAGAGCCAAAACTACACGGGTACATGTAACCCGATCTTGGCCCCTCAGAACGAGCACTCGGTTCCTCACGTCGGGCAAGTTGGCAAAACGCTGCAGGCATCTCATGCGGCATCCTTCATCCCCCCCGTCACTTTCTCCCCCCGTTCTAGTTCTTACCTCCTTGAGGAACTCGCTGTCCTGGTCCTCCTCGTCCGTCTCCTCGTCCCCCTGCGCCGACGCGCGCGCGCTGCGGCTGACGTCCATCGCGTTCTCGTCCCTGCTGTTGTCCTCCGCCGCGGCCGCTGCCAGGTCGGCCAGCTTGGCGGCGGGGATCGGCGCCACCGACTGCTTCCACTCGTCGTCCTCGGCGCCCTCGCGCACCATGGCCCAACGACACCCCTTGCCCGCCACGCCCACCTGCGGAATGCACAGCACGAGAGATCAATGTCTCCTCAATTTATGTATAATAAGCTCCAAATATAGGAAGCTCCTAACCCCAACATTAAAACCTAACCCTCAACTACGCGGTCCCCACCTTTACCCACCCTAGACCCCCAAAGTAACCCCAGCCGTCCCAAGCTGGTTAGCTTACATTATTTAAAGCTTATCATACCTGAATGAGTTCTGGAGAAGTCAGTCTCTGGACGAGCAAGGGTGAGCAGTGGAGGAGAGACACGTGGAACGATTGGCGCCGCAGTGTCCGCACCACAATCTCAGATGCCGCTCTTTCAAGGATCGGCTTGCGTACCCGTGATGAAGACTAACGTACCCCTGGAGCAAGACGCAAAGAACGGCATGAACGAAAAGGGTTCTCAGAGAACATTGAAAAGACCAGTACTGCGTATGAGGAAGCAAAGGGCCGCCTCACCTCTTCTGGATTCCAGGAGATCGGCACCACTGCTGCCCCCTCTGATTCCTCATCATCAGAGCCTGCACAGAAAAGAGATCTCAGCAAATGTAACGGCCCAGATGAGATATATGGCGCAGCCTATTTACTAGTCACCGAATGATGACCAAAAGGGGTACTTGACGCAATTCTCTGCTGATTTGAGGACGCGCCGGATTTGGGCCGGGTGCGCGAATGCGTTGACGCGATTGCGCTGTGTTGGCAGGCTTAACGAGCTAGAATCCCCGTCCGGATCCGCCCGCACTTCGTATCATATCCAGCCGATCGCTTTACAAACGCCGGAGCTTACCTTTTTCTAATCCTCGACCCAGTAAACATTCACGCCAGTAAACAAGTGAGCTTTTTGGGTTCAACCAGGATTCTTACTCAGATACTCTTGTGCTCTGCACCTGTACCCACCCTAGCCCCCTACCAACGCCACCGGTCCCCATAAGTGGTCGATAAGCTCTTACTATTCACTCAAATGATGGGGCTCACCTTTGTGCGCGTCTGCGCCGCCGACGCCCGCCTGGTCGTACTCCAGCTCCTCGTCGCTGTCGTCATCCTCCATCGGCTGCGCCAGCATCGAGATGCGCGAGTATGCGGGCACCCGGAAGCCGCCCCCGACCTCCACCTGCCACCAAAGCACATGACTGATGACTCCTCACATGGATGATGCTTGACCAACTCTCCATCTCTAGTTTCTCAAACGCACTTTGCCCGCAACCCAATGATTGCAGAATCGGTGCATGCTTTCTAGGGTGATAAAGTGACTTTCTAGGGTCAACGCTGTTGTACACAAGGATATCGTGCATCGTCTTCAAGATTCCTGACCTGGTCAACTTAGACTTTTCATTTTCGGTAGGGCGCATGGCAAGCGCCACTCGAACTAAACACATAATAGCAATGTTTTGAGGAGCGGCGACTCGGCGGCCGGCAGCGCGAAGACGAGTTACGGGCCCAACCTTGAAGGAGAGGACGGCCCCCGGCTCCACCACCGCCTTGTCCTTCACCAGCACATTGTCGCACACCACCGCTGACGTCAGCACCGCGCCGTTCCCGATCTTGACGTCGTTCCAGACGTACGACCCGTAGATGCGCACGTTGGCGCCGATGACGCAGTTGCTGCCGATCACTGAGTTCTGGATGATTGTCCGCTCGCCGACCACCGTCTTCTCGCCCAGGACCGTGTTTTCGCCAATCACGGCCGTCCGAGCAATTTTCAAGTCTGCATAAGGATCATGCGAACGCTATTCGCGAATCCGTCGGCTCCAACGATAAAGAGCTGAGATGATAAAGGAAGAGTCCCAACCAGGTGACTAAGAAAAGCCGTTCCCGAGTACATCATTGGGACACGGGTAGTGAAGCACCTACAGCTTCGTATAAATACGCTCTGGCCAGCAGTTCTTGAACAAAACTCTCCCGATTCGTGTTCGCTCCAGCGTCCCTCGAATGCCGACCGTTCCTTTAACGTAGTGCGTCTTCAAAGTTGATCCAACGGGAGGTGCCTGGCAGTTTGGCAGCCGAGTTTTGCAGAAAGCTTATGGAGAGTCCAAGATAGTGCAGTGGACCGACCTTCCTCCTTATAGATGTTGGTCCGGCCCAGCTTGACGTTGACGGGCCGGTTGCCGAACATGGTGTCGAGCACGAACGGGTACGCCCAGCGGTGGATGACGTCCTTGCTGACAGTGTCATACGACCGCAGATTGTCGATCCGGGCAGCGTACTCGCGGGTCAACTCGTACGTGTAGATCTTGTTGCCCATGATCTGGACATGCACCGGACAACTCTCGAGATAAAGCGAAAGCTTCATCTTCAATCGAACGGACAGGAGGACTGCAGTGTGCGAATCGACTGCGCTGGACGCATTATGTGCGCCTACCTTCGCATACAACTGATGCATCGACGAAGAGTCGGAATTGGGAAAAGCACCGGGTCATCGACAACAGCCTTCGGTTGTACCAAACAAGCCCCTATCTGCTGTGCCTTTCCATGGTCGTCTAATGATATCTTGACCTTAGCTCTGTTACAACCACACAATAGTAACCCGCAAAACAACTCAAAGGCAACAAATTCTTCACCGGGACATCAGCACCGTACCTCGTCGCTGAGGAGCCCCTTGACGAAGTCGCGGCGAAGGTGCTGGTAGTCGAAGTTGTCGGTGAAGAGCATGAGCACCTCGGGCGCGCAGATGTCGATGAAGCAGTCCTCCAGGTCCGTGCGCAGCTGCACCGCCTGCCGACCCTCAAACATCGCGCGCTCCAGGCCCAAGTACTGCCCGCCCTTGCTGCCTGAACCCGGGAGAAAAGCACCGATCATTCGAGCAAGCGTTCTCACTCGGGCAACGAAAGTCACGGGAAGACATGAGCGATGAATCGTACGGAACTACGTTTGTCAGTGCCAAACAAGAATCGAAGATGGTGAGGACGCAGTAACAAACTAAAGATCGCGTGTGATTGTCGAAGCCATTAGAAGATTTGGCAGCTGTTATTTTAGGGCCACAGGCAATTGACGATAAGGCAAAGCCGTGGGTCCGGCTGCTTGAAATTTATGCGTTCTAGTGATAGGTGACCACCTTGTAAAGCTCAAAATGGCCGGAGTTTGCAAGATAGAAGCATCATGTTGGCCCACACGAAACAACCCACCTTCCCGACCCCCGCTCTCTTTGCCGTGATCGTACAGCAGCAGCTGTTTGGTTTGCGGGTCAATTGCAGCCAGCAGCTCCTCATTGCCCAGCCTGGTCAGGTGCGTAACCGGGTCGGGTTTGGCCTGCTTAACCACCATGGTCATGATGGCCTGCTTGTCCTTGGCCCTGCGCGCCTTGTGCTCTGCCAGTACCGCGTCCAGCGACATGTTGCTGATCGTGTCTCCCGAAATCAGGATGAAATCATTTCGTATCTGGATCGAGAAAGACAACGTCAGAATAAGAAGCAATTCCGCTGATTTTTGATTCGTTTCTAGAACGACATTTCAGAAACGGCACGACTGAAAGTAAATTTGAGAGCCTTTGAGGTGGTCGAAGCAGTATACAGCAATGCTTTGATCAGATGAAGAATGTCGAACAAAGCTGTAATCTGAAAGATCTGCAAGCTCGTTCCATTAGAGTCACTCTCGAAAGAATGAATAGTACCCTGGTCATAAAAACTTCTTCTAGTCGTAAAGATCATTTGCCTCTTCGAACTGCTCGCCCGGGCCATCTTTCCTACTAACCATATTGATTCTTGCAAGGGCACCAAGTTGGCCATAGTAGGATCAGCGCACTTACCAAATTCTTTTCATCTATTAAGCGCAGCGCCTCCCCCGCGCTCATGGAGTTGTGCGAGACGATGGGCGTCACATGGAAGTTGGGTTGCTTCTTCCACTTGGAGGTCTCTATGTACGCCTGGATCTGGCGGGCGTGCGCGCAGCAGAACACTAGGACGTCCTCCACCCCGGCTGACGCCAGCCACTCCAGCGTGTAGTCGATCATGGGGACGTTCGCAACAGGGAGGAGCATCTGCAACCACCAATTAACAAATAAGTCACCATTTGCGAAACCAACCCGGCCGCAAGTTGGACACATTCATCTCTTGTTGCACAAGCAGGCAGACCTGACGACGGCACCTGCTTCGAGCGGGAGTCCAAAGAAGAAGCTGGCGCACATAGAGAATGGGCCAAAGATGCGGTCCAAGCATATGAGCGCTTATGACATCGATAACTCGACCTGTTTCTGGAAGGCAATGCCATTCAGCCCTTAGGAGCACTGATCGGGGGAGCTTGCATTTGGGGTGGCTGGAAGATATGGTCAACATACAGGGTTGGGACTGCTTCGGTGGGGATGCGCAACCAGTAATCAGAGAATTTCTCGAGGTTCGATGGGGCGTTTGATGGGGCAGATTAACCGCGCTGACAAGACCTTGTAGTTTGAACAAGCACCACCAGTGTACACACTCAACGGGATAATCTTCTGTACACCTGTCCTTTTATGTCATAAGAATGTATAGAAGTATGCACACCAACGAGCCATTGACATTTGAGATCTGTAGTAAGAACCAGGAATTGATTTGTTGATTGAGAGCCTACGGTTTCACTTGATCGTCCAAATCAGTGGCATTGACTATCACAGCAGAAACCCTTGATCAAAGTAGATTCGCAACATCCACCATTACCATGAAACAGCTTTTGATCAAAATGCAAGTTGGAAGATACATCAAGCCTTGTCACATGTCTAAGAACCAAGCAGAAAATGGCGTTCTCAGTCTTGAGAGGTGCTTATCAACCACCGAACGTGAGATGGGCTGACCTTCGGCCGTTCCAAGGTTATAGGCTTGAATTTTTGAGCGAAGCTGTCGGCCAGCAGAATTGCCTGGAGGGGCCCCTGTGCTTCTTCATCAGCCACTTCCTGAGGTGGCCCCTTACGAGGCGCCATGGCCACCAGGGCCTACCACCCTCTCCCCAGCAACTGTGCGTACAATGCCCTGCAGCCTGAGCACTTCCACAGGCTTTGCAATCAGTTCACAGCCACCCAGAACAACCACCTCGCAGCCACTTGGGTCCAGCTGCCAGTGCGGGCGCTCTATACAGCCTTGTACAGGCTCGTGCGGCGTGCCCCACGCTACGATGACTGGGCCTGGCGTGCAGTCTCCAGAGGGAGGATCTCGGCACAGTGTCACTGTTGGTATTTAATTGCCCCGGTGATGAAGTGCAGGTTAGAGCAAGTGGCCGGTAGCTTTCTGCTTGGGTTAATTGAGCATCCAGGACCGGCGACCGCGAAGGGCCCCCGGGTGGACAGAAGCCGCCGGCCGGTCCTGTCGCAAATATTTCTAGGGGAGAGCAAAAATGGTGACGGGCCACCAAATGGCCCAGGCAAGGTCCAGGACCATGCACTGCATCTGCCACATGAGGACAAGGCTCGAGTACTTTCAACATGGTCATCATGAGGGCAGAGCCGCATGCCAGTCGAAGAGTGACTCCGTTTGGGCGGCCCAATCTCCATTCTCCACTCGAGGGCGCCACCTTCAAGCTTGGGGGCATGCGACTTGTAAGATTATTCTTTTTGGAGCAGTTGGAGGGTGAAGGGACGGCAGGAAGGTGCTAGGCACAAAGTGTAGCCTGCGTCAAGTACCACGAAGAGTAGTTTGATCTCTGTGTACAAGTGCCATGGAGGGCCCTTCAGCGGTAGCAGGTTACGAGGAAGAGGAGGACGTATGCCGCATTTGCCGCATGCCCGGAGAGCCAGACTCACCGTTGTACTATCCGTGTCAGTGCAACGGGTCCATCCGTTGGGTCCACCAGGAGTGCTTGCTTCAGTGGTTAAAACATAGCTCCACTGTAAGCTGCGAGGTGAGACTAGCGTGCAGGAAGGGTTTGCCGCGTGCCTTTGTCATTCTAAGACTTGTGGTTTCATATGCAGGACACCGCGTTGAAGTTAGCTCAACTTTGAAACTTTGAACATTCTGTACTCCTTGAAAGCTGTCTTGCTTCTCTTGTTTAGGGTTGTTGCTGGGCCGTTCTTTGAACAGGCCCATGCAAATGGCTGCTTATGAATGCAGATACATTTGCTTGTCAAATCTGCTCATTAAGATACAACTGGAGTTTATCTGATCATTGATGATGTCCAAGTCATCGTTCTGTCTGGACTAGTATCCTGCGAATATGTCTGAAGTTTCTTCTGCTTATGGTCCTTATAAATCAATGGCATGTTCTTTGACAAGGTTTTGTTTACAGAAGGCACGGTGGTTGCCAATCTGACCCGCTTGTTACAAAGAGGTCGTTCTAGTGGAGCATGTGGTTCTCCTGAAACAATGACATCAGCGGAACATTCTGAAGTGTCATCATCTCGCTGCTCTTCAATGATCCTCAATCAGGCTGGGTCCTCTGCAGGTCTGCAAGCATCCGTTCACGTTCTCCCCTGTCTACGCCCCCGACGCCCCTTCCCGACTGCCCCTCTGGGAGCTCCTCAAGGGTTTGATCTCCAAAGTCACCCGGGGCAGCCGCATTGTGGCTCGCCTCAACCTCGTCCTCACAGTCTGGCTTGTGATCGTCCCCTATGCCACCTCCTGGCTGTGGAGGCTCGCCTTTGCCAAGACCTGGAGCATGCAGGAAGACCTGCTCCCCCAGCTGGCCCCCCTGCAGCTCCTCAGCGACTGCCTCTTTGGCAGCTTCTTGTCGGCCGGCATCGTGTTCACTTTCCTGGGGGCCACTGCGATCAAGGAGTACGTGCGGCAACTGCAGGAGCCGGTCCTGGCCGAGGACGCACGCCAGGCAGAACCCGAGGGGGTGGTAGCGGCGTTCAATGCAGGGCTAAGAGACGGGCAGGAAGGGGCAGCGCAGCATCCGGTGGGGCCCGAGAATGTCGGGGGGCCAGGACAACAGAATGTCGAGGTCCCGCAAGCGGAGGGTTTGCAGTTGCTCGGGGCGGCGGCTGCCGGCGGCGCGGGGGCTGGGGGGGTGCTGGAGGTTGACAACGGGGCCGTTGAGGTGCCTTTTGAGGAGCTCATTGGGATGCAGGGCCCCATTCTCAACCTCCTGGAGAATGCAATAACGGTCTTGGTTTCGAACGCGCTGTTTCTGGGGGCCGTGGTCATGGTCCCATTCCATGTGGGGAGGCTGGTGGTGCTGGCCCTCGAAGGATCCCCGGTCCTTCGAAGCGGGGTTGCGCGTTTGCAGGGGCTCAAGGGGAGCTTCCTGGTTCCGGAAGTTATGGACAAACTGGCGCAGGTCGCGGCAAGCTTGAGAGAGGAGGTCGCTGTGGTGTCAAACTGGTCAGAACCATTGGTGCGGTCAGTCACGGGGGGTCCGAACGGAAGCAGCATCTCAGCATTGACCAGCTTTCTCGCCTTTGGGGGCGAAGAAACGTGGAGCAAGGCTGTCGGCAACTCCACTGCTTTTGGTTTTGCAGCAGAAGAGACGGGGTCGCTTTCCGAGAATAGTAGCTTCGCGGCGAATGTGAGCACGTTAGGAGAGGTCATCAATGCGACTGTGAGCGGCAATATCAGTGAGGCGTCAAATTCGACCAGCCTTCTGCCGGGGGGGGTTCCGAAGACTGCAGACTTAGACGTCTCCGATGCAACGACTCTGTTTGCGGGTTACTCAGTGCTGGTACTGGGGCTGTGCTTGTGGCTGACGGCATGGTACGGAGTGAAGCGGTGGCGGGGGGAGTCTGTTCTGCACCGGCAGCGGGGGGTGGGGGCCGTCATTGCTGCAGCCCCTGAAGCAGGGAGACAGGTGAGAAGACGTTTGGCGGTTTTCCCTCTCTGGGAGCTTATACAAAATTTTCGAAATCGCAGGTGGACTGCTGGAATCTGTGACACTCGATACCTGGACCAATCACTTGTGTAAACCTGACCGGCTTTCCTACTTTACTGTCTCTCAAACCTCTCTGCGTTTGTTGTGGGCTGACCTTCATGGTCGTCAAAGACATGGTACCTTCCACGGATTGAACGAAGGATACCAACTCTCGTTGAAGACATCCGTTTCCATAACCTCTTTGCTCATTGCCAGACACTGATCTTTCTCGCTCTTTTGTGGCGGATTTGTTTATGTGGTGCATGACTTACCTCTCCTTTTACTCCATTCTGTGCAGGTCATTGCCGGTGTGCGTTACTTCATGACCTCCGTCAAGGTGTCCTTTCTGTTGGGCCTAGAGCTGGGCGTGTTCCCGCTGCTCTGCGGCTGGTGGCTCGACTTTTGTACCTTCGCCCTGCTGGGTGCCACGTGGCCCGACCGCCTGGCCTTTCTTGAAGCGGCGCCCTTCACATGTGCGCTTCTGCACTGGCTGTCCGGGGTCATCTACATGCTGCAGCTCAGCGTCTTTGCGAGCCTTAACCGAGAGGTGAGCCGACATTCCGATGAGATACATTCTGATTTGAGTTAGCCTTCTTTTGTAGGTTTCGAACAAACAATTTGATATCAACTGCTCCTCAATCTGCCTGATAATGACAATGGCTTTTACTCTATCAGAACAATTAGGGAAAGGAGATGGCAGCTCGAGAGCATCACAAAGCATAGTCCCTATGGTCGTACTTTATGTTCCGTCCTTTTGAATCTTCCACGTTTTTGTTCCCAGCACCTTGCTTAGCTTACTGTCCGGTTAGCCGACGGCAAGTGCGCTTCTCTTATCGCAAGCAAGTGTCCGTCCAACCCCCCCCACCTCACGTCTCACTTCCCAGTTTGGTCCCCTCGCTTTCCCAGGTCCTCCGCCCCGGCGTCCTGTCCTTTTTGCGCGACCCCACGGACCCCAACTACAACCCTTTCCGCGACCTCGTCGAGGAGCCGCTCCACCGCCACTTGCGCCGCGTGGCGCTCTCCCTCGTCATCTACGGCGTCCTGGTCGTGCTCCTCGTGTTCATCCCGATCCGCCTCGCGCTCGCCGCCTGCCCCGCGCTCTTCCCGCTCAACCTGCGCTTCTCGGACCCCTTCACCGAGGTCCCCGCGGACATGCTCCTCTTCCACATCTGCATCCCGTTTACCGTCGAGCACTTCAAGCCGCGCGTCACCGTCAAGTGGCTGCTTGCGCGCTGGTTCGAGGTCGTCGGCTCCGCGCTCGGCCTTGCGGAGTTCCTGCTGCCGGCGCCGGGAGACGGGGCCGGGAACGGAAACGGAAACGGAAACGGAAACGGAAACGGGGTGGCTCCTGTGGGGGAGCAGCAGCTCGTGGCTCAGATGGCCAACCTCGAGATTGACGAGATCGCGGAGACGCCGAACTTGCCGTCGAACGAGGCCGCTGCTCCGCCGGACATTTCGGACGGCCTGTTTCCGCTGCGCATCGTGCTGCTGATCCTACTGGGGTGGCTCACGCTCCTTGGCTTCAACGCGCTAGCGGTGCTGGTGCCTCTGTCAGTGGGGCGTGCAGTGTTCGCCCAGGTGGCGCGGATTCCGGTGGCGAGCGCGGTTGCACACTGCAACGACATCTACACATTTGGAGTGGGCTGCTACGTCCTCTGGGGGGGCGGCGCTGCAGTGCGATACCTGGTGCGGTACCTGCAGACGCACGACCTGGTGTCGATGGCGAAGCAGGCAAGTGACGCGTCACCTTCCGAAACTTTCGCTGTAAGTGCGATGGAATCGAGTTGTTGTGACTAAGCTGAGGTGCGTCGGTTACTTACTGAGTTATTGTAATACTGGAAAGAGTGAGGTGTCTCAAGTACTTGTTCTAGGAAGGGCATCAGCAATTGCTCTCTTCCACGGAGCGTCGGGTGTGTTGGAGCCTCACGGCTCTCGTTCCTGTCAGTCCTCCCCTGACTTACGCGACTTTGATACGAAGTATCAGGTCCTTATCAGACAATTAGACGCACGGGTCTCACCCTGATCTCCACTGCGCGCAGGTGTGTGCGTGGGCGCTCATCTCGTGCAAGGCCGCCGTGCTGCTGACGCTGTGGCTGGGCGCGGTGCCGCTTCTGGTGGGCCTGCTGTTCGAGCTGCTGGTGGTGGTCCCGCTGCGCGTGCCCGTGGACGAGAGCCCCGTGTTCCTGCTCTATCAGGACTGGGCGCTCGGCCTGCTCTTCCTCAAGATCTGGACGCGCCTCGTCATGATCGGCCAGGGGCCGCTCGCCAACGACGCCTGGAGGGCCAGGTTTGAACAGGTGGGTGCTGTGGAAGAAAAGCGTTCTTACCGCAACGGTGCGATTCAGTGGTTGCTCTGAGTTCATTTTGGTACTCTTCAAGGGGCCGATTGAAGAGTCGTAGAGAGTGGGAAGCATGGTTGCTTGCTCGCTCAGAATTCTCGCCCGAAAGCCTTTTGTCCCGTTAATCTGCACCCGTTCACCGGCGCAAAGCGACTTGGCTGTTTCATGGCTGTTTCCCGCCTGCAACGGCCAGTGGGGAGTTCGGCATTCTCCTTACCCAAACGACCGGAAGGAATCCTCGTACCCCTCAAGAAACTTATTCCTACCACTGTATTTACTGTTGATTCTCACTGCCTTTTTGCTGTTCCGCAGATCCAGGCCCTCGGCCTGCGCAACGTGCGCGTTATGTGGACCCTGCGCGAGATCATCCTGCCCGTCCTCTCCACGCTGCTCACGGCCCTTTGCGCCCCTTATGTCGCCGCCCGCGGCCTCTTCCCCCTCACCGGCAGCTCCCTCCTCGTGAGCTCCCTGGTGTACCGCTTCATCTGGCAGTGGTGCCTTGCCGCCGCGGTGCTCTGGAAGACCGCGGGACTGATCCGGGAGTGGGCGCGCGACCTGCACAACTCCATTCGGGACGAGCGGTACCTGGTCGGCAGGACGGTGAGGCATAATTACCGGTACCGATTGGACATAAACGCTGATTTTGTTTGCGAGTTCTCTTGGGGTCGTCCAGGTTGCAAAAATGTAGAAGGAAGGGGAGTTAAAGCGTTTGCTTTCGATTGCTGTGCTTTTTAGTGCTTTCCACCACTTCCTTTTGAGCCTGCCGGCTACGGTTCCGTCTGCAGCCAAACTTGTTGGTTGAGTAAAGCTGTCCATTTCATTTGGGCGGCAGGTTTCGAAGCCAAAAACTCCTGTCGCTTCCTCTCACCTTGCCCTGGCAGAATCTTCCTCGGCAATGGTTGAACAGTTCTTTCCAGAGGGGGCTGACGTGGCACTCGTCTCTTTCCGCAGCTGCACAATTTCGGTCAGCCCGCTGAGCCCGTTCCGTCTGCTGCCCCCACGCCCGCCGCCAGCGAGCATCACAGCACGGGCGTCGAGCCGTCCTGGTTTGCGCAGCTTCGTCTGAACGAAGAAGGGGCGGGTCCCGCCAACTCGGAGGGGAGTGCCTACACGAGCCCCCAGTGGGAGGGGCCGTTGCACGAGGAGCAAGAAGTGGCGTCAGAAGCGGTGGGAGCGGACGAGTTCTTTGGGCGCGACAGGCCGTCAGAGGTTACGTCAGCAATGGAGGAGATGCGTGTCTGGGGCGGCACCGATGGTGGGCCTAGCCGATCGGCGTCGGGAGTGTATGGTCCGGCTCGTGCTTTTGAGATGGGGTGCGCGGCAGGTGAGCGAGGTTTAGAGTCTCGAGCGCAGTTAACTAGGCAGAAGAGTTTGCATGGCGCAGAGCAGTCGGAAAGTGTGGATGCTGAATGGGCTCTTTCTCAGGAGGTGCGCCGCCGCGCTGGGTTTGCTGCGCAGGCAAGATATAAACAACAGTGTGAGAGTGGGGACTTCAGATAAGGTCACAGAAGCGACGATGCATAACACGGATGCTGCTTGTCACTTTCTTGTCCATTGTAATCTGTGTCGTTCGAGTCCAGTTCGCAACCTCCGGTTCAAACCAGCGGTCGACCATTTTGAACCAGCAGTCAGGCTCTCTATCTTGTTTGCCATGAAATGGTGCCCGGTCAGACGCCTTCCTTTATAAGGCCTACGCGTTGCATATATGTAAGCTGGTGATTGACAATTGCGTTGAGGGAAGACCCGCTGCAGCATGCCAGGCCAATTCTAGACTGGCCACAGAATCGACCATGTGTACGCAATTCGTAGTCATCCGGCATCATTGCATTACGATGCTCGAAGTCCCACCGTCGCGCCGTTTTGGTAACGGGCCGCGTACAAGAAGCTAGCAGCTGCAAATTGAGAGCAAAACGTGCACGTGTCTCTTTGTATGCCGGCCTTGCATGAAGCGATGGTGCGAGAGCTGTGCGACTTACATACATCCTCCACCGCATTCTGACGTACATTTTGGAAGTGTCCCAATCATATGACGGTCCTTGCTCACGTTCTAAGGCGTTGCAGCATGAGTACTCCCGATAATGTCTGCTTATTCAAAGTGGTATTCTACGATAGGAAGGATGCCGCTAGTGGACGCTACTCTCACTTCGCATTCCCCGGCTCCCTTCGATCATCCATGCCCGCGAATCGCTTCGCTTTTGTCGAACGCCCTTCTCGGACACCGAGCGCCTTCAAGTCGTCAGATCGTACGACGTGCCAACCGAATGCATGCAGCAGGTGACACTACCAAAGTCCCTCCACCCACAAGGTCTCCTTTTTCTGCGACCATACAAACGCGGCACTGCGCTGCCTGTTTTAGCAGACAGTGAGAAGCCGCGCCGAGCAGCCTGCTCGTGCGCCGTGAGCCCCGGTTCTGCCGGGGTGTCTGCTCATTGGGGGTGATTCCCCGACGTCGAGGCCCCGGGCCTCCGCCTGGCAGGGGGCGAACATCCTCTGCTGTCTTCACTCCACTTTAACTTCTCAAAACACCCATCACACGCTTTGCACATCTTGACATTTCAAAGCTGGGTCTGAACGAACTATTCGTAGGATAAAACCCGATCGTCAATGAACTTCGCGATCTGCATACCAAAGCTTGAGCGCAGAGGAGGAAGATGGAGTTGCGGAACAGACCCAATAGAAATTCTTCAAAACTAGACAATGCTATTTTCAGAGATTTGGCTTAGCTGGGTTTTGTTCAGAAACATAGCAGGGAGAAATAACGAAGAGGTGGAGAACTGAGTGCCCTTCAGTATAACGTTAACCTTCTCAATGTTTACTGTGCGACTGGAGCGTAAATTTGAAGAACGTGCTGGCAAAGACGCAGATTACTGAGCCGATGCAATTCTTGAATGTTCTACCGCGACAATCACGGACTGCATTCAGCTGTTTTTAGGCAATCTGCTTTCTGGAGAACCACGTGCACATGCGTCCAGAGGCTTTGAACTTTGCCATTATCAGCAGTCGTGGTTTAATCACTGTCCTACAAATATGGATAGTGGCTGTGGATGTGCGGTATGGGTTGGAGTGATGACGGCAGAGGATGACCCTAAGCCTCTGGGGCGTTGCCCCGGCCAGAGGGAGCTCCCGCGGGAGCCCCCCCTGCCAGACGGAGGCCCGGGGCCTCGACGTCGGGGGATCACCCCCAGTGAGCAGACACCCCGGCAGAGCCGGGGCTCACGGCGCACGAGCAGGCTGCTCGGCGCGACTTCTCACTATCTGCCCAGGATAGCCGCAGCCGGCCACATTTGTATGGTCGCAGAATACGGAGACCCTGTGGGTGGAGGGACTTGGTAACGTCACCTGCCGTTCGATGTGTCAGGTGCCTCGATCTGACGGCTGTGCTTTAAGCCGAAGAATGTGCGACCGCCGTGCGACTGCCTCATGTGAGAAGCAAAGAGTGACCGAAATTGGTTTGCAGAAGCCGGACGTGCACTACGTGCTGCAACTTGCGCAAACAGGGGAACAAAGCTAGAACACCCTGGCTTGTAAAATCACCATCGAAGCTGTGTGCAGAGTGCCAACATCAAAAACTCAACCAGTGTCCGGGAACCAGTGCATCTCTAGGGCCGTTGCGTGCGGATACGTGAACTCGACAGACCGGGTCCGTTTCATTCAAAGCATACCGCGAAAGGCACTCCAAGGTGAGAAGACTTCATGACATGGGGGTCCTCCCAAAGGGCTTCGGATACTTAAACTGTCGCCGTGTCCAGTAGGCCACCTCAGGTCTTGACCGGGCTTCGCAGTGCTGGGCTCGCAAGGATTCTGGATTCTTTGCTTGTCACTGGATGTACGTCAACTATCTTGGGCACCCACACATCTTAAGACAAATTCCCGCAGAGCCAGCGTACCGCCGCAGGGCCACTCGAAAGCGTGAATGATGGTGCCCGCAGATGTGCTAACAAATCTTTCTCGTGGTCAAGAGAGTAACTCTCCAGGTATTCAGGCTCTCTCTTTTATGGTGCTCTGAATGTGAAGGTAAAGGGACGCGGAAGACTCTTTGGGATTCAAGGAGCTGGCTTTGAAGTGACTAGGATCTCGAGAAAACTTACATTGAGCTTCAAATTCAATCGAGCCACGAAGATGAGTAACTTGAACGGTGCAGCTCATGCATAAGGTAGACTGTCTGTGCAAAGCTCTTGCACGGACTGGGGGTTTCAGCTCACATCCTTGAGCCCAAATGAAAGTTGGGAGAGCTCTTTGGGGCGAAGTCTTCTAGAAGGTTCTTAAATTGCCGCCGGAAAGGGCTTTAGCGCCACCTGCGCTTTGCTAGGAGGCCCTAGGCCGCTAGGCAGATGCAGGATCAAATCCCGCTTATAGCTTCGACAGCTTTCATGCAGGTCTGGCAAGAGGCAGTATTCTGCATTGACAAAGGCTCGGTACGTCGGAAAAAGACCCCAAGGGCTTACATTTGGCTGCAAGACTCGGAGCAGAAGTTGGCGTCACCCTGATGATATTTTTGTTTGGCGAGCGCTTAGGTCGATTGACTCAGAATTTGTCCATGGCAGTGTCAGTATCAGCACTTCTTTTGAGACTCGCTCGAGCGTGTCCAATTCAACGGTTCAATCGCAAAGCAATAGAGTTTTTCGAGAAGTTTGCTTGAGACAGACAACTTGTTTGCTTGCGGAGCCCTTATGCATCGCAAAACGTCCTCGTTAGGCGCCAGAGGTGTAAGATTCAAGCGGAATGGCTGAGACACGGCAAAAGCGATCGGCTTTTCTGGCCATAGCCTGATTCCTGCGCTGTAGAAATCGAGGCAAACCCTCATGAAGCGGCTGAGGAAACAAAGTTGCTACTAAGGTTGGATGCAACCTGGTCGCGAACATACAACCAATACACGTACGTGAAGCGTGTCGTGATTCACAAAGGTGCTTCGTGCTTCGGCAAGAAGAGGAAGGCTGTTCGCCTGCAGAAGACCCCTTCCTTCACGAGTCGCTTTGAAGAGCGGCTGGGAATACTACACTTCTTTAAATCGCACTCCCAGGGGGTCACAAACCCCAGACATAGGGATCTCTGCCTCGCTCAGTATATAGTTTCTATCAACCCACAAGGTTCCGCAAAATTCGGGGTTCAATCAACACGAGGTTTCATTAAATTTGGGTTGCAATCTACTACGTGTTCTTTGTCCTCACAAGAGAGGCAATAACTTACAGGCGGGTAAGGCGACTTCGTCACACAATTGGCCCGGAAAGTGGGCAGTGAAGTCTATACTTTCACTCCAAAAAGAAGACCAGAAAAAAGCCAGCACGATGTACATGGTGTCAGACTGTCTGCTTCGGCCTCTCTCGAAAAGAATCAAAGCAGAAGAAGCTCATGAAAGACGGAACTTCTAATTGACATGAAGCTCTAGTCAGTATAATCTGGCCACTCAAAAAGGCGTGTTGGAGAATTATGGATGCACACGTTGACCATTCAACTAGTTGTGTGATCAATGCACAGATTTTGTGATAGTGCTTGGCGCAAACATCGAAACCATCTCGATCAGTGGACGGTTTGACGGTATATCTTGAGTTTGCACAGCGGTACTGTCCCGTCATATGCGCGCCTTCGAAACATTGGAGGCAACTCTTGAATTCAGAAACGGCCGTTTGACGTCAAGCAGAGGCCCTCCGAGTTTAAGTAATTAGTCGAAGCCCTCGTGCTCAGCTCTCTCTCCTTCTGCCGGTTGGCCAGCACCTCAATGGCGAGCTCAGCGGTTCTTAGCGCCTAGTGTGCGTCAAGTCCAAGATCGATCTCTGTTGCACCATGCCGAGCCCACTAGCTATGGTGATGACGTCTGGCTTAGCGATGTGCTATGCGGTCAACAATGTGCGTGATGAATCCATGCAGGCTTATAATATGATTGATGAACTGGTTCGTTACAATTGGCCCGACAGTAGAATTGATATATCCACATGTATACGTACGTCGCTCACCATTGCAGTCGAAGAACGCCATGACGGACTAAGAAGGCCGGAGGTTGACAGGCGGATATTTTGGTAATCTACAGCCACAATTCGAACAGAGTCATTGTCACTGTCCATGTACGATCCAATGTTTCTGTAACAGCAATACTAACCCAATGTGATACCCGGTACCAACCAGATTTCATTGTAGCTTTCCAATGCTGCACTGCGGCTCGAAAGATGGCTCAATCCATCTCACTTCCGCACATCTATCTCAAGTGTCAGTAATAAAGCTTCGGATGATACGTGATGGGGCAGATTGAGAAAGCCATGCGCGTGGCCGCATATGTGAGCCGCCGCCTTTGATCGTCTGTCAGTGGACGCTCCAACACCTTCTCGGCGGAATGGTCCTGCGAGGCAAAAGATAACAGTATGTTGACAGTGCAATATCAAGCGTAGCTCAAGGTGGTCGTTATGATGCGTTACTGTTAACCGACCGACTTGAGCGGCAAGATTGCTCCGCTTAGTGTACTGCAATATTGTTTCACGGCAGATCTTTGCTATTACGAAGCGACCAGCGCGCATAGATACCTGACAGAGATCGCTCGCACCATGTCCATGGATGACACCAACAAAGCCGGTTGCTCGACCTGATTGCATGCCGCCTTCTCCATCATATTACAAACTGGGCTGGTTTTCGTTTCCGGACAAGGCAGACAAAGTTCGTTTCTTGCCTCCCCACCCCCACCGAGGTGCCATCCCAATGACCAGCTCTTTCGAGCTTTCACATAACTACAGCGCACCGTTGACAAACATCCCACGTACATTGCCTACGCCATAGGACTCTTTGTTCCGTATCCAACTCACCACACTCCTTCCCAAAAACTGCCTGCCTTACTTTGTACGCACAAGCCCCGTCCTCACCGTGTGCCAGAACATCCTGCCGTACGAGCGCGCCCCGTAGATGTCGGTGTGCGAGGTCCCCCCCCCCAGCTCCACCCCGTTGGCGCCCACGTGCACCACGTTGTTGATGTTGCCCCACTCGTCCAGCTCCGTCGGCAGGTCGCCCGCGTGGCGCCACTGCCCGTCCACGATAAACTTGTACCGGTACCTGCGCAGGACGCGGCATCGCACTTGTCAACGCCGACAAGAGGTTTGCCTTACCCAGGTGAAATTGCAAACTTGGTCAATCCCTTCTGCTTCGCTCCACCATGACCCGCAGGCGAACGGCATCCAATAGACAGCAATCGGATGGGGAAAAAACGTCGAAGCTGAAGCTGAAAAGAAGGCGGCAGCAACGGCTCTTGCTTGCCTCAGTAACCACGCAGGAGGCTTACGCTCCACATGTCTCAAACGCTCAAGTGACTAGGGCGCATCGACAAAGATCGGCTCCGCGTGCGACAAAAACCGCCTACTTTGCTCGTGGAATTGCAGCATTCATGCATCACAGCGTTTGCCGACATGGCGGGCTTGAAATGATGGTCCGGATGCGGTGAGAGCGAAGCTTACTTTCCGGGGGGCAACCGCAGGTCCAAAGCAAAGCAGGGCCCGCCAATGGGCACGGCTGCCATGGGGTCGGACCAGCCCCCGCCAAACTCCCCCACAACAAGACACTGCATCAAAGGATGAGCGGTGGTGAGAGAGACTGCTGCTACCTGTGCCACGGCCTTCCTCCTGTATCTTTAAAACAGGGGCGAAGTCTTCGTTGTGGCACGTCAAAATCGCTTCACCGACCTGACTCCGGATAGAGACGGTTGACCTCTTCATGCTCTCACATCGTAGCGCACTGTCCAGACACGCTTCAACAGGTGCATGTACGTGAGAGCACCGTCATGCCGCACAATCGGCCGCAGAAAGAACGATTGTTCATGATTCAGAATCTCGTCCTGCACAGACCCACGAGAGATCGGAAGGGCCGGCGTCACAGGCTGTGGCACCGGTGCGTACCTCCCTGCCCCCGTGGTTCCACACAAGGCGCACCGGATGCGAGCGGTCCCCCCCCTTGTGGCGGCCGTCCTCCACCATGGCCAACAGGTCCCACGTGGCGCCAGCAATGGACGCGCTGCAAAGATGAGATGCTATTAGTCTTTCGGTGTCAGCTTCGTTCTCATTAGAAGCAATTCTAGAGAGTCATGGAGATGCCGACGTGAGAGGTGAAATGACTCTGCGGCTTCCAAATACCGACGGTCCTGGGCATAGCGTAACGGGGGAAGTCACTCAACGATACTGTTCGTCTCAAAACCTTCTAAAAATGCCGAAGATTTGCGGACTAGGTGGTCACGTCAGTGCAGGAAGTGCCTTGCTTTCCCCGAGCGAACAAAGCTGAAGGTGAAACTTACATAAAATACTCAAGTCTGACATACATGTGAATCTTGAGACGACTGAAGCCCCCTCGCAACCGCCAGGAATAACATCGTCCGAGCAGTTTACAAGACAGCCGACGGATATAAAGGAAAAAAGAGAGATATCGAAGAGGTGGGTCGCGTGAAACTGGCTCTCGAAGCATTGGAGTCTCACCGGTTCGGTGCGGAGGGCCGCAGTTTCACAATGGCGGAGTAGGCCTCGTCCAGGGAGAGCTGGGCGTGCCAGTGCAAAAAGGCGATGACGACAGCTGGGGACCGCCCCAGGCCGGCTGTGCAGGTGACGTATACCCGGTGACCCCGCCGAAGCAACCGGTGGAGAGCCCCGACCGCAACTGCGAGACATAACGCGGCAGGTCAGACTGGAAGCGTTCGTCAGGAGAATCTATGTTTGATCTCGCGCGCTTCGCTCTCGCTCATACCAGAACCTCCCAAACCTTTGTCATTGAGATGCAGTAGCTTAACCGTGAGAAATGGTATTTTCTCGTCGTTGACGCCCATATAACAGGCCCGACCTAATACAAAAACAGGAGGCTATCCGACGTGGTCGCGAGTTCACATGGTGCATTCTGAAGTTCAATGGGAAATTTCAGCACCTTGGGTGCAAAACCACGGTAACGTCGATTGAACGAAGTAATCAGGGTCAAGATTTGCAAGCCGCACCCGGTACTCGATGGCGCAGGTCCTGCGACTCGAGGTTTCTTCACCGGGTGCGAAACGACTGCACCGTCAGTCGACGGCCTACCCCACGTCAGAAGTTCAGACCCCTCACCCGGCAGCCGGTGTCGCAGGTCCCGTGGGTCGAAGTCCCGGATGGGGTGCTGCACGAGACGGATGCCCTCCTCGCGGAACGCGCGGTTGATGGCGTCCCCGTCGATGCCCCAGTTCACCTGGTCGCTGCTCTGCTGCAGGTTGAGCACCGCCGTCACGCCCTGCAGAAAAGAGGGGCGTTTGAATGCCTGATGGAGCAGCAAACTGCGATGACCGGGCAAGGAAGTTGAGACCGCTGCCATGCCTTCCGGAGAGTAATATGGGTTTCAGTGAAAGCCAGGTTGAAATTGGGACGGATGCGGTTTGCGGTGGGTACGGGTGCAGAGTGGGAAAACTTGTATCTAGCCTTTCTTACTGCGCGTTCTCCCGGTTCCACATATGCATCAACCTGGCTCAACGCAACCCCTGGTCGAGACCTACAGGAAAGACGGTGTTCTGACAGAGCAGCGCACTGAGAAGGCCGCGCAAGGAAGTGAGGTCCACGACTCAAACATTTTGGATCGGCCAGCGGAAATGTTTGCGATGAAACGACCGTTCAGTATCGAAATTGGAGACTGCACCATAGGCGCAGACCACGGTTACAATTGCAAGTCGTTTGCACTCCTGTTCTGCTCCACACAAGCAAAAGAGTCGATACACCAGCGGAGAAGTGGGTCTCGATCTTCAATTGTGGTTCGAGCACATACATCATCCAATCGCCTTGCGTGCTTTTCTTGTTTCTCAGATAATCCGACCCCAGCCCGACTGGACAATAGTCAGCCGACGAACCGGACCTATCCTTCGCAACGGTCAGAATCATCAGCCTAACTTTCAAAAAAGTCGAAATGCATTTGGGCTCGCGTCCTTGTCAGAAATACACTCGGGCTCTCGCTTTCATCAGGTTCCATTCAGCACCCAGTAACTTCGAAGTTCTATTTCTCACAAAAGCACTCCCTCACCAGCTGGCGCGCCAGGACTTGCACGTCCGCCGGCGTCTGCAGACACGACCCTAGCAGCAGCTCCGGGAGCACTTCCGTGTAGTTCATGCCCAGACTGTGGTGGTACTCCAGATCCCACCCCGCACGCCGCATCGCGTCGTTGTATTCTTCCACCGGGTCGATCTGCGCGCCCACGCTGCCCCCCCCGTAGAACTCGTCGTATACCTCCTCGTCCGTCCAGCTGGCGGACATCGACGGCTCCTGGACGACGAGAACGGGCCGAGGCTTTCTTAGGGAGTCGTGGGCAATTCGAATGAGGTGAGCGTTGTTGGAAGGTTTCGAGAGCCGGCCTTTTGCGGAAGCAACTTGAAGAGAAAAAACCGAAGAAGTTTCTGTTGGAAGCTCCGAGCTTCAAAGAAGGCCGCCTTCGTCTGTTCCCTTGATGCGAAGCAAAGGAAACGAGAAGTTGGATGTCTTTCCAGATTCTTTACGAAGTGGTCGAGAAAGTGTTCCAACTGTAAGGGCACACGAACGGGTTACCATCGAAACCGTGATGACATGATTATACCGAGAAACACGTCAGGCCTCGCATATTTGTCTTCGGTCCTTCTTTGGTAGCCGCTACACAAACAGCCTGAACGTAACCGCTATTATTTGTGTTGGCTTTGACAAAAAAGGAGTCGGAAACCTTTTCATACGCTCACGCTTTTTCCCACTCAAGTCCAGTGAGATAGTTGACTGTCAACCAAAGCCGTCGTAACCCGAAAATTAAGGCAGCAGATCGACAAGACTTTCTTACCCCGCTACCGTCCAACCTCTGCTTGCTCCCGATCCCAATGTCTCCGAACCCTTGCCCCGGAAACCCGCTCTCCCTCTGCGTGAAAAACGCCTCCGCACCGTAGTTGTGCGACCCCGGTTTCGCACCCCCCTGCTCTGACCCCCGCAGTTCGAAAGCGGCGGCCAACTCTTCCTCGTGCGGCTGACTCCCCCACCCGCTGGTCGACTCCACCACGTCTTCCGCGGACTCTATAAAGTCCTCCGCCAGGTAATCTGCCTCGTTGGGACGTCTAGAACTTCCGGAGGCCCTGTTTTCGGGGTACCAGCCGGCCGCCCTGCCCTTCGAGGCAGTCTGCCAGGCGAGCCCCCGCGTGTGCAGGGCCTGCGCGGTGCGCTCGAACACGAGGCTGACCGGCCCGCTTCGTGTTTTGATGGCGTACATGACGCGCGAGAAGTCGTGCGCCTCCCACATGTCCTCTCCGAAAACGGCGCTCGTCTTTTTGAGGACGTCGCCCAACATGACCATGCGGCTGTTTTCCGCGTTGCCGCCTTTTGCCAGGGCCTGCGGCGAAGTGTGTTTTGATTCGAGCAGCCTGTCGAAGGTTGTGCACTTGCTGCGTTCGTTGTGGTTCGAAACGGCGAGTGGAAAATGGCTTGCTTATGACTTTATGACCATAAATGAAATTGGAGGACTTAGATAATGATGAACTCCAGGGTATCGTGCAACAATCTTTGAAAAGTAAAGTACGTTACGACGGCCTTTTCCTATGTCTGTCTTTTAATGTGCTGTGGCAAGCTGAAAAGGGGGGCACGGCACGATCAGGATGATCTCACCAGGAACATGTCACGTCATAAGCAAGGGTGGCGGTGCCAGGCACGACTGGAATTTCATCATACCATTGGGATTGAGGCTGCTGACGCACCAGATGAATCAGATGCTCCAAGCACGAGACAGTCCTTTTGATAGCCTTACTTACAGCTGAGAATCCTCCGATGGAGGTCACAGATATCTTCTCCTTGAATTAGTAGAGGGCTCTTATAGAAGGAAAAGCTTGTCTGAGTCGTGTCCAACAAAAGTGGAAGATCAGACTGCCTTCAGTACATTCGAGTTCAACTCCCAACTTTTCAAAGATACTACTACTACAAATAGTGGCCTCAAGCACAGTATAACAATTTGGAAGCCAAACATCTTTGGCCATCACGGCGGGCGCACTTTGTCTTCAGTGCAACCAGTAAGTCATATTGAATTACTTCCACCAGTTCATTTGGACATACTGTATGAAGGTATTCCCCTCTCGACCACCAGTTGTCTAACCTTTTGAGCCAGGACCAATCTCTCCTGACTCGCAACCACTTTTGCAGATTTGGAGGTTGTGTCCATTCTGAAGAGTCAACATTTGAGATTTTCTAGACCTTTCTATCATTAATATTGGAAGACCTTTTATTTCCAGGGTCGGTCCTCATTCTTGAAAGGACGTTGGGGCGCTGGGGCTCACCTCCACATACACCTTGCCATCCTCCCGCTGTGCAAAGCGTATGCCAATTGGCTTTTCGAGAGTCACCAGGTACTCATCAAGGTTGAAAGTGTATTCCTTGTGGTCCTCAACAGTGCCGGGCCAGCCTGCCTCTACTCGAAGCCCTCTCCGTACTCGTTTACGCTGAGCAATTGTCCTTGAATGTAGGAACCTTCTGAGAAGCAAGACATGATCTGGGAAAGCACCAAGTGACGTGGCTGAAGAAGGCAATGCACAAGTAGTGCTCAGCTTCTTCCGCCTATGTGGTCCGGCCAATTTTGACACCACCAGGAGAGTGCCCTCCTTGGGTGCAAAGCTTGCCTTTTGAAACTTGGAACCAGACTTTTTGTGGGGACCTTCTCCTAGGCATACAGCCCATCGCAGAGTGCTTGCGGCAGCTGCCCTTTTAGCAGCCCAAGCCATTGACAAACTTCTTGCCACCCAAAATCTACAACAGGGCCTTGTGCGAGGTTGAGAAATCTTTACATGCTCATTGTTTTACAACCTGGTGCAAGGAACGTGACACTTCTCTGGGCTTGTGCTGGGATTACGATGATCCTAGGAGGCGCCCCCAAGAAAACTTCTTCTTTGTCACATTGGCAAAAAAGTCTGGAGCATGATACATCTGCTAGGTTGCACTGCGAAAGTTGACCCAACGAAACCTCTCCACTCGTCTTTTGACACTCTCCTTTCGCTTAGCGGCATGTGCGGCCGAGTTCAAAGTAAAATCTTGAAAGACGTGTGTCAAGGGGTTACTTGAAACCACTTGAGTTATTCTTGAAAATGTCGGGCTGGGGATCAAATAAATAACGCAACGCATCTTGACTTGATCAAATGCAAGGCAAATGCACACAAATCTTTTGTCAAGAACTCCACCTGCAAAGCGCTCTTCTATTTACAGGAGACCTGACTCCTGCCTTTCTCTCCCCTTTTGAACTTGCTCTAGGTGGAGAACATCTGCGCACCACTTTCTCCTTGCGCGTTGTTGAAATGGCGGCATCAATTGCTAGATTCCCTTTGGGAGGCAGTTTGGCTTGTCGGTCAAGCATAGTCTCACCAGTTGCGGGCGCCAGGAATCAACACTACACCGGGAACGTCCTTCCGTTTGGGAGCTTGACGTGCAGAAGAACGACAATACACGCCCTAGCCCCAAGGGCCTCAGGGAATTCAGCAGACAGCAATGCCGAGGGGAAAAATGATGGGGACCAGGCGCAGAATGCGGCACGCTTTATCTTGGAAAAGGCGGGCATGTCAGAGACTGCCAGTTCGTCAGGGGGCGGCTGCTGCGGTGGCGGGTGCGGGGGGGAGAAGGCAGACGCCAAGTCTGCGGCACAGCAATTTGCAGAGTTGGAGGCAACATTTGTCACCGGCCCGGTCAGCATTATCTCTTTCCATCAAACGGGCCCTGTGCGCATAAAATTGGAAAGCGTTGCTGCTTTTGAGGTGTGGCTCCTTTTCCTCTATTGCAGCCGTGACAATAGTCAGCAAGTGCAATTGGTGGTTTGACTGGAGAAAGTGTCTGCCATTCTTTAAAAAGGAGTGCTGAAGCCGTTACTTGCCGTGCAGATGGAAGGTAACATCACCCGCGACGACGTGCAATCGGCCTATCGGAGCGCCCCGGTGAGCGGCACTGATTGCGCTCGAGCCACGTCCTTTGAGCTTTGATGGGTTCACTGTTCATATGCAGACACATAAGAGACAGCTTCCCCTTTGAAACCTTTACATGTCATGAATCTTCTCTGAATGTCATCAACAGGACCACCCCACTTCTGGTGCCTTGACTTTACCTCTATATATCTGACGAGACTGACGACAACGAGCTTAAGGTCCACTTCTTGACGTGGACGGCCGTCTGCGGGAAGTCAATGGGGACAGGGTTGAGGCTGATTCGCATCCTTTAAGAAACCTGAGTTTCTTCCCATCAAGCCGCAAAGTTGATATTCGATTTCATCTCTTACAATAGTGTTTTGTAAGAAGAAGCGTCTCACTTAAGTTGGCAGGCCCACTTGGTGAACCTCAAATTTCCTTCATCCTTGGATGCAGGATGGTCCGAGTGAAGAGAAGTTTCTTGATATTGCCGCCATTCTTGCGGAAGCATCAAACGAGTCTGAGAACTTTGTCTTTGAGGACGACTTGGATGAGCTGATGGTCTGACCTGTTTGTCTTTCGGAGGAAGAGCTTGCAATGATGTACCATAGTAGCGGAGAATAAATTGCTCGCAATTGGTTTGATGTTTGAGGAATAAACGGTTCTCCTTGATAGCTCTGAGTGAGGAATTGTCCAGGTAATAAAGAAAGTGTAAGCAGGACGATTGCCTAGGTTAGGTGTAACGATTAAGCAGAACGATTGCACTTCATACCTTACCAGCCGGCACTGAAAAGGCTGGGCTCGGCGGCCGCAGCTTCTGCAGTTGTCATGTTGGCAGGAATGAGCTGGGCGGCTAGTAACATTGCACATGTAAACGAATCTGGACTGACTGGCTATCTAATGGCTAGGCCTAGATTGATGATATGAGTGTATGCATGCGGCATTGATATGTAGTGATCCAAGTTATACCAGACATAGACTTGGCTTATATAATACTTATGATGCACCGCATGGTAATGCAGCCGTTATGTGCAGGCGTGCATGGTGGACTTAAGGCGCTTGCATGAGCTTTGACCTTACGTTGTAGCATGAAAATCCGCCGAAAACACGAATCCCAAATGAAGAGCCAAATGGGCGCGGCGGCGCCGAAAACAGACCAGTGGTGAGACAAAACTCGCCTTTCAATGCTCGCTCGGATTCCTGGGAAGCATCCAAATGGAGCAGAATTTGGAAGAACCGGTTCAAAGAGCGCACTCTTTTAGCATGGAGCGAGAGCACTCAAAAGATTGTCTTGCATGGAGAGATCTTCGACGCCAGCGGCAGCGATGAGACGTTCCAATCCCCCCAGCAAGCAAGGATGGATGCCACCCTGCAAGCTTTGAAAATGAAGTGATTATTGCACATGATCAACCTCTCACGGGTTGCGCCAACGATAATTAGATGCTATTCTTAAGGTATTGACATTCTTCACTTCTGTCCTTCTACTGGTCTATAAACAATTAGCCTGCTAGATCGACCTGTTCGACCCTGAAAGAACAAGCGCAGGGACACAGCGGTTGACATCGAAACATGTGGGCATCTTCAAGAAGCACCATGAGGCTTCTTTCGGAACCTCGCTCAGGGCGGATTGGTTCTGGGGATCGCTTCGAGCGCTGTCTCGGGGGAAAGGTCTCGCATCTCACCAGCGATCGTGCGTTGTACTTTATGTGCACTTTGTGGCCAGGTCGACCACGGGCGACTTTAGGATCTACCGCCACCCCCCGCCACTCACCAGACAGAAGCGCAGTTCAGTGTTCTTCGATAGCGCTTCGACTTACGATTGTCTTTTCCTCGGCTTGGTCTGCTAACGCTGCTCTGCTCCCGTGTGCTAGATCGACGACGAGGAGAGCATCAGAGCATCACGACGATTGACTTTCCCCAGATGGTGTCCACGTCGCACAAGAACGCGCAGATGTACTTCGAGCGTGACACCAATTGCATACGCAAGTTCTTCGGGAAAAGGTGCGCGCCTCAGCCCCTTCTTCGCCGTTCGCAGCCTCTTAGTGACCCTCTTTGGCTCACGGAGTTTTGGTGGAAGGTCTTTCCGAGCAGCCGTTTACGTTCGCACCATATTCATTGATTTGCTTCCCTGCGAGATTGTTGAAGCCGGGCACCCAACTCACATTGCGGGTACGTTGCTCCGATGCAATTGCATTCATGGCGCTCGTTGCCGCCGCTGCCGTCGAACCCCTAAATCCGTTCTTTCGAGCGGTGTATCGGTAGGTGGCTTCGACAAGGCAAAGAGTTCTTCGATATGCTCTTACAGCTGTTCTCTAGGACATAAGGCTTTTCCTCGTGTCGCTTCCAAGGAATGCTCTCACCCTTTGGATGGTGGTTTTGCGGCCGCAGGTTCAACTGGGTGCCGGAGGAGCCCCTCGAGGGGCCCGGCGTGGAGTGGCCCCGCTTTGCTGACGTGGCAGAGGGCGGACGCAACCTGGACACAGAGCTGGCCGCCAGCGGGCTCACGAAGGAGAACCAGGAGCAGCTGGAGAAGGCGGTGAGTGGGAGCGGCAACCGCGTTCTCAATGCCGAATCCGCTTTGATACCCATCGTGACATCGACTGTCGGGGTCGACCTTATATCGAGCTTTCTTTTCATCTTTTCAGCCTGTCTTTTCCTAGGGGCCGTCCTATCCTGGTCCCCTGCCGCTTTTTGTTGAGCATAGTCAAATTTGGGTCAGGTTTTCGATCACCAGCCGGTTGACTGTTTGATTCGAGAAATGCGAAAAAGAGTTGTCTGATCTTTGCGGCTTCGGGACTTGCGTCGATCGAAGCGGTCAACATGGTGCCTTACTTTTATTGCAAAATTTTCAAGTTGGGCTGCTTGCCGTTTTCTTTTCCCTTGGTGCTCCTGTCATACTGAACCGATCGAAGATTTTTGTCACGGGAAAGGTGTTAAAGTTTTCCTCTTCAAATTCGACGAAAGAACGAATTGTCCCTTACATCATCTGCAGCTCCACACCTACCTGTGACGGCCACCTTTGACCTGCCCGTTGATCCTTTTGCAGCAAGCGGAAGCGGAACCGGCAGAGGAGGGAGACGACGATGCGGCCACCGATTCACGTGCTGACAGGCCCTCAGACGGGGATCGTAACGGCGAGGCGTCGGCCTCAGAAGAAGCTTCAACGTCTGAGTAGTGCGACGAAGCCGACTCGGAAGCAGAAGACGAGCTGCGGAAAGTGGGCGAGAAAGGGCGGTACAAGGCCGAGCGAAGCTCAAAGCGCGGGCACGGAAGAGGAAGAACCGAGCCAGGCGGTCGCATCAATGGCTGGAGTCGACGAGTCAGAGGTTTATTTCGGCAGAGAGTTATGGCAAAAAGTCTCGGCAGAACGCGGAGGGTTTGGGCGCAACCGGGGCCGCGGCCGGGCCCCAGGGTTTGGGGATTTCGAACGTCGGCCCGACTTACAGGAGTTATAAATCGGGGGCCCGCGGACGAGAGGGCTGATGTCAGCGAACAGAGCGAAGCGGAAACGGAGAGCGGAAGCGAAGGCGAGTGAGATGCGCACCTTGACCATGCGAGGTTTTGCCCAATTTTCCCCCTGTACTGGCTGGTTCAGTCAAGAACAATGAAGGTTGACGTTGGGAACGGGTGCCGCTTTGTCACCTGCTTCTATACGTCGGACGTGCCTCTAATGATATTGGTCTCCTACGCTGAAAAGGAAGATGGTAACCGAATCTTGAAGGCATGGAGTCAGAAACTGAGACTTGTCGGGGAAAGAAAAGACAGCGCTCGGGAAGTTTCGGACTTTGCGGCACATCCAAAAGCCGCCTCATCAACCCCAGAGCAGCGTCGAGGTTGGCAATTATAACCTGAACCGCGTCTCGTGGAGTAAATTGCTAGATACAAATCAGAGCACATCAGCTATTGCAGATGTTCTTGAAAGCTCCCTTGGTCTGTCTCAGTTTTGATGCGCGTTACGAGCAGGCTGCACCTCCAGGCTGCACGAGATATTGGGTTCTTGTACCGAGATGATCGAGGTACGCATGTATTCAAGTCTTCTAAACATTCTCAATCTTGTAACCGGTAGGATGCACGAGCTATACTCTTTCTGGTTGTCAAGCTGCCTCATACATGTGCAACGGGCAGCTAAAACAAAGGCCTTACAATTCAAGGGGGCGCTGCTAAAATCTGAAAGCCAGAGTTTTAACGAACCCGGCATGAGCTCGGCTTTTGTACAAGTTTGGCCAGGCCCGGGTCCATGCGATTTGCGATAATGATTGCGTCACATGATATGGTTACTATTGTCCATCCAATCGGATATATTGCTGTAATGTCAATGCTTTGCTGGGGGGTGCAACCCTCCTGCCCTCTGGCAACGGCAGCAGGTCCACGTCTACCTCCTTTTTCCGCCAAGCATTGATACGGGAGCCCTCCAGATGATAGCGTATCAAGTCCACCAACCCAGACTTGAGCGCACGCTGAGGAGCACCTTGCTCTGCACGAGCGGACGCCATCACCTCCTGGCACTGCACGAAGAAAGGGGGAGCTCGTACGTAAAAGTGTGCAGCAGAATGGTTGCTCTGGTACACAAATCAATAGCCAGTCGCCGCCACTGTTCCGGCCCAGAAGAGAAGGGAGAGTAAAGAAAATCGATTATGTACACGAATGGGATGGCTCCACGGCGTGGAAGCCCAAGTATTGAGCAGCCGGAAACGGCTTGCGACTGCTGTTGACCTGCTCGCCTGAAACGAATGAAGGAGTTAGAAGGATATTTCCCAAACAGAAGATTCAAAACCCAACAACGCCCTGACTGAAGTATGCTCGGTCTAAGACAAAGAAAGATCAAAACCCGCACCTTGAGAAGGCCTGCGGTGAGGTCGGTGTTGAAGTTCTTGAGCACGGAGGGCGGTATCTTCCGCACGATTGACTTCATCTGCGCCAGCTCGTTCTCCAGCGACTTGATCGTCGCCTTCAGCGTCTCGATGTTCTCACTCCGCGCTTGCGTCATCTGCGTGATCTGCGTTCAAAAAGAGGACGTCAGAAACCGGTACTCTCAGAACCAGCACAGGAGTCTGTAGTCGAAAATGAAAAGATTGCGACTCACCTGCAGTTTAAGCGCACTTCTGATTTCCTACGATATTCGTTCCTGAAAAGCTCGCAGAAGTCAACAGATCAATCGTGACTAGTTTCACCGAAACTAGACATGCATTCGGCGCAAAGGGTCCTACATATCAGCAAGAACCTTTTGCGTTAGGTTGTACAAGCCTGCTCTATTACAATCCAGCTCGACTCCGGGTTGGAAACATGAACGAAACCAACAAGCCTAGGGTTTCCTTGGTGCTGATGCCATCTACAGAGTGTAGATGGCACAGCCGCTCGGTTGGTGGCTTCAAAACTAAAGACCGTCAGATGCACGTGTCTTTTCGACCGACACGTTACTAGCCAGCATCAAAGCGACAGAATGTCATAACGGTACGCGTGAGAACCTGTCATTACCTACTGCCGAGTGAGATCGACGAGATGGATCCCACAGTACAGCAGTTTGTACGAAACGTGCACCTTCAAAAGCTGCAAGGATTGCCGGGTACACGATCCAGGCCGTCCGATCGGCCAGCTTCTGCTCATCGGACGGTCCAAGATCACGTAAAGAGGCTCTCTGCAATTTCCACACAAAGAGCTGTAAAAAGGCGAGCGGGAAGAAACACATGCAGCGCGCGGCGCTCACTTCGGATCGCGTGATGTAGAACTTGTAGATGGCCTTGTCCACGTCGCTGGCCACGTTGAACAGCTCGCCGGCCACTGCCATGCTGCGCTCCAGCACCGCACTGCTGTCGTTGATCTTCACCTGAGATGCGACACACGGGGCGGTGGAGAAAACGTCAGAAGTCTGAGTCCAGGATAGGCATGCTTCTTCAGAAGGAGCAGCGAAAGTCTAGCGCTGCTCCCCACGACGCAACATCTAGGTCTTGACACCGTTCGGGTCATCGTACGGGGAGATCTCGGGGTCTACAGGACTTCGCTTGAACCGAAACCCGCTGACTGAAGCCGATGAGAGTCCTTTCAACACTTGACAGCTCGTCCTAGTCTCATCTGCGACAAATGGGTCCGCTTCCACAGGACTCCGTCATCAACATTTTTATTAATGGAACCGGCGTCAGATTTGCCTTACCAGCTCCTCCTCCGCAAACGCGAGCGCCGTTGGGTGCGTGGGCAGGTACTTGGCTTCCTCCAACGAATACGGGTCGTGGTTGTCGTGCTCAAGAAACGTGCGCACCACCGCCGTGTCGTCGCCGTCGGGCTGCGGCCCTGCGGGACTGTCGGCGGTCGGTACTGTGACCTGCGCCAATCGAAGCGAGCGTGAAGCGCATGCGAACGTAGTGAACGACGGAATGCGTATTGTGTGGTCCTCCGACTGCCTCGCTCAAGGGCGCCGTATGCGCCTGCGTTTCACCCAGACATGACTGGTTCTGCAAAAGTGAAAGAGCAACGGCAGATTAGGAAGGCGAGGCGGCGAAGCTTCCCCACATGGGCCAGACCTTCTTCTGAGAGTCGGCGATGTGGTGAGTGGAAAAGTGAAAAGCAGACCTGATGGAGATGTCAAAGGTAAAGATCTTCGAAGATATCGACCGGTCGGGCACTTACCAAGACAACGCATTCTTCTCAACAGAACGAATTATGACTTGGACGAGGGCCTTCCTAAGCAGACTGCTTGCACGATGGTGCAAGACTCAGGTAGTCTTTGGTCTTTCGATTGCGCACGCAGACCTCCGTACTGAGTAAAACCAAACCAGAAGCTCAACCGAAGGAAGTTGCCTTTTTAACGAATTCCATAAGCAGGTACGATTGTTGTTTCATGCTCTGGCTCGCGAAATGCAAGGTTCCAATCAAACACCCAGGCGGACCCAAAACGACTGAACACGCACCTTCTCAGCACATGCCGTTCTCTTGCTACTAGCCACCCCCGATGACAAGGAACGCTTGAATTTTCAACACCGAGAAATTTGTCTCCAAGCACTGGCACACGCAAGCATCACCTGGACCCGAAACCCGCACTCGCACCGCCTCGACTTGTACCTCTTGTGCTCCTCCCCCTTAGGCCGGTAGCTCTGGTCCTTGCTGCCCCCGCGGTGGCAAATGTACGTCGTTGCCCAGCCTGGCCGGGGCCGCTTCACCGGATAGCGGTTCTCCAGCCGCAGGTGGACCTGCTGCCAGAATAGGATCTCAATCTGGTCTAAATACAATGTCGATTATGGTACACCTCAACTTGGATAGTGAAATGAAGACCAATTTGGAAGATTGTATAAAGTGCACAGAAGGATTCAGTCATCGAAACTTCCAAGACGGGGGCACCTTGATCTTTCGATTGAGGAGATTGACAAGAGGTAAGTGGCTCTGGTAGGCGATCCGAACGGGAGCTAGGCCCAATAGCGATAAGAGGGACATCAAGCAAAGTCCAGGCATTGTCGAGGCAGCGGGAAGAATCCTGTGATGCTAGGAGCAGCTCGAGGTATAAAGCGGTGCTAAGGTGGTCAACTTGATCACAATTCTTTCATCTTAAATTTTCTACGGCTGCAAAGGGAGCCCCCTGCTCACCCGGTACTTGAGCAGGATACTCTCAATGTACGGGATCACGTCCTTGAGCGGCATCTCCAGCGTCTCATTCCACTGCAGCTTCGTCCGTGCGGCTCGCTTCGTCTGCTTGACGGGCCGGCCGTCAATTACTTCCTCCGCTCCCCTCTTCACCCCCGCTGCCTCCTGCTCGGCCGCAGCTCGACAGAACATGCACTTCTGCCTGCGGGCGTCAGCGTAAGCCCCGGGAATGCCGTGCTTCTGGGGGTCAGTAATCCAGTCCTTTGCCATCCGCTCCTGCACGTGGCACAGCGTCTGGTCAGATCGGTTCGCAAGATGTGGGGGGCCAGGCCTTGTCTCTCTCGAAAAAGCAGTTCTGCTGAGTCAACAGCATCTGAAAGAGCCACCGATTCGTCTTAATCAGTCGCCAGCACAACCAACACCTCATCCTGAGCTTACGAAGCCCAAGAAACCACCTCAAGTTATAATCCAGACGAAGAGAGACCACAAGATTGATCCAAGTTGGTTGGCCCTGCAACTGAATGTGCTTTTCTGGGTACACTGAGGTTATGGTCATCTAAGAAAACGCTCCAAGCCTTCCATATGTGAAAGACTTTAAGACTTGGTGCCAACTTTGATCGCCTGACATTCACTTGTGTGTGGTCCTGTATGCCAGGATGACCTCCTGTCCAAGTTTGTAATGCTGCTTGCCTTATCCTCAACAATAAGGCCGATTCACAAGTAAGCCAGAAAACGTCCCGCTTGACTCCTACCTGGATGCCTCTTAGGGCGTAATGATTTCCATTTGCGGGGCAATGACAGCTGTCCACTATCTCCCGCCACTGCCCAGTATGTGCAACCAGTTTCTCAGGCTTGTTCTTGAAGAACAGCAGTGGTTCTCCATCGGGCGTTATCCTGGCGTCCAGCCTGTCTTGGTACTGCTTCCAGCGGGCAATCACTGAGCGGTGAGACGTGTCGCTCTTCTTGTTGAAGAACGCGGGGTCCGCTTGCAGGATCTCTTCCTCGCTAGGAAGTGTCTGGAGCAGGATGTTGTCCACCATCAACCTGTGGGAAGAGGAATACTTTGAACACTGCAGAGATGGCCCTCACTTTGAGGTTCTGCTGAAAATGCAACTGAAAATAAACAGTCAAAAAATGCACGTTTCTCATTTAAGAGAAGGGGCAATGAAGATTGTGATTGGAAGGAGGGGCGGAAAGTATCATCATGCAATATTGATAGCAAAGCTTGCTAGCATTGAAATTGACCTTATTGAAAATTTTGCACAAATCAATACTGAAGGGGAGATCATTATGGATGGAGACAGAGTTCATCCTACAGCCAGGCGGCATTCACGTTGCAATTCCTCTGCCGAAAAGTTTGAGCCACTTACTTGTGTGCTGCCTGGTTGAATGCATACCACTTCCTCGTGTACTCTTCATAGTCTGTCTCCTCATCTTCTTCAACAGCCAGCAGGGCTCGGGTGTGCTCCCCCACTTCGTCATAGCCTGCAATGCCAGGTCTCAGTGACTCTGATCCTGAAGAATGCTGTTCTTCAGCAATAGAAAGAAGACTTGGACTGGTGCTCTGAAAGTCTCCTTGTAGAGGGTATCTTCTAAAGAGTTTACTTCCAGGACTTCCAGCACCCTAATCCAACCTTGAAGATGGGAATTGACAATCTATATGCTGTCCACATCGATATTTGTATGTACGACCTGAGAGGGAAAAGGAAGTCCATTATTGACTGTATGCTTGCCACAAATAACTTACCTGCCCCATAATTGCAGTGTCCCATCATTTTTCCTGGAATCTAAATATAATGTGAAGGGTGTATGCCCGTTTTTAGCCACAGATCCGCAACCAGTTCAGAGGCAGCAGCAACACAAGCAGCACCTAGAGCTTGATCAAGGTCAAATGAAGCTGTCCTTTCATACCTGTATGCATCACTTGGTCTTCATGTCCTTCAGGTGCCTGGTGCACGAAAACAGCCCCGTCCTGTATGTCTGCCATTTTTACCAGCTTGCAATGAAGCAGAGGAGCTCTCTAAAAAGTGCGACCGGTTTACCCGGGATACTCAGGCAAAACAGCCAGCCTGATCAGGGCAGGTTCTTTGAGAAACGCTGGACACCCATGATAACCCACATGCGGATTTGGAAGCAGCTAAGCATGCACCTCATTCAACTTCAAGCTTCAACTTCAACTTCAAGCCAGCATGTTCAGCTCAGGTTTTCTCCAGGTTTTGGCATTGAAAGAAAGCGCCCTCCCCGTTCGCCATGCCGGTTTTGCCCTTCCCGAACACCGTTCCTGAGCTCCTCTCACCGCACAATTCCAAACCTCACAGCGATATCACGAAGCTCAATCTAAGCCGTCTACCTCTGCAAAGAGACGGTGTCGATGCAGGACGGACGAACCTGCCCAGAGCTTCTCTCCTGGCGCCCGAAATCTGCAAAACAAGAATGGGGACCTTTACAAGAACCGTTACCGCTGCGGCACCTTGCATTAGGGTTGCCGCCACGTTGCCGCCACGTTGCCAGCTTCAATTAGGTACCGGTAGTCAAGTTCGATCCCCACCACTGCCCGCTAAACGTACAAAGTCGACGAGAAAGTTTGGGAGAATTCTTTTCGGACGGTACCGGGCGCACAATGGCCGCTGATGGTACCAACCGTCACATCGCGTGCGGTAACTATCCTTGCCAAGCGCAGAAGCAACCGGGCACTATGAGTGACCTTAGGGTTAGGTCACAAAGCAGTGACGGTATGTTAGGGTTTACGCCACTACCTGTGACGGTTTGTTAGGGTCGCGTGCCTTCCCTGTGACTGCTCTCCGATTAGGGTTTCCACTAACGGCAGAGCCACTGACCATAGGTTTTTCGTTTGGTTTGGTGTTAGCCGAGCACTTTATCGGCGTCCGACAAAGGCGTCGACTATTCTCCCAAATTCTATTCGTGACCTTTGTGCCTCTTGCACCACTGCCACCAGCGCCAACTTGAAGATGCAACTTGAAGATGATGATCCCTTTCACAAGTTCCAGATTCTGTGTACAAGAAAGTTGCATTTTCTAGGAAAATCTGCAAGCAAAAGGCGAGCAGACAGGACATCACCTCTGTCTGTGTCCGTTGATGCGATCAAGGATGGCGGTCTTCTCAGCTTCTGCTCCTGGAAAAGTGATTCTGTTTGGAGAGCACGCGGTTGTGCACGGCGCGAGCTGCATTGCGGCCAGTATTGATCTGCGCACATCTGTGAGCGTCCACCTGCAGGATGCAGGGGGACAAGATGCCAGTGGGCCAAGTGATAGTGGTGGCAGTACTGATGCGGTCACCCTGGCTTTACCTGGAATGGGTCTGGAGTGGCGGTGGCAGCTCGAAGAGCTGCGGCCATATTGGCAATCGTCTGATGGTAAGAAATGTAGCTTATACATGAAAGGTTTAAGTTGCTTAACCACGGCCAGGGAAGGAGGGAAATGTAGAGAGTATTGGAACTAAACTTTCTGAAGAAGAAATTGAGTTTGAAATCTTAGCATCCTATCCTAATTGTTCGCGTGACACTCAACGATTGGAGCTGCCTTCTCTGATTGGTTTGGGCTGCCACTCGAATGGCAAACCTTTGCCCATCTTTGTTTGCATACCTGCTCCATTCGATTTCCAGGTCCTGCCCCAATTCAACATGTCACAGAAGCAACAGAGGAATTGACCACCAGATTGAGGGACCTGGCAAAGACAGCAATCGCACCCGATGCAAGCAGTAGTCTTGTTGCAGGGGCCGCCGCCTTCTTATTCCTGCACATCAATATACTGGGGTAAGATGAGTGGACCTGAATTGTTGAAAAGACCCTTCAAGCCCAATAGTGGGTAACCTTGGGGCCCCAAGGTATTCAAATGTAGCCACCGCTTGCCTGAGATTGGGCCACCTTAGTGGGGCAATCCAGGGCCCTTTAGACGGATGGCAACTGCTACTTGTCTTACTCAAACGCCTTGACTGTTTCTTGCGATCCGCCCTTTCCAGGTGACCTCTCTACTTTTCTTTGTGTTTCTTATGATGATTGTTCTCAATCAATCAGTCAAGATGCAAACCAAACTTGCTCTTAGTGCTTCATCAAAACTTGAAACTGTTCGTGTGTATTATCTCCAGGCTCCGCTCCAGCCGCACTGTCCTCCAGTCTGAGTTGCCCATGGGTGCTGGTCTGGGCTCGTCCGCAGCCTTTTGTGCCTCCCTGGTTGGAGCTTTGTTAGCAGCAGTCAGCGCACCTGGGTTTTCTGAACTTGATCCAATCTCGACAATACTTTCAAGCCAAGCGGCAAAGCTTCCAATGCAAGGCTTGGAAGCTGCCAAAACCGAGTCCAGAACTAGACAGGCAGCCAGTGTTGATAGGATTACAGAAGCCGGTTGTTTAGTATGTAGAGACAGACCTGCACAGGATAGCCATCACGAAAGAGGCGACCTGCAGTCAGTTTCAAATGGTGCTCACGAAGAGGAACGGGTACAGGATGGTTCCTCCCAAGATCCGCACCGCAAAACTGCGCCGTTGAAAGTACCTTTAGAAAAGCCCAGCCAGCAGGCCCATCCAGAACCTGGTAAACCGGACTCGGCTTTTCATTCTGAAACTCCAGCAGCAGGCATGACTTTAGGAACTAGACCCGTCGAGCAGCGTGCATCGGAGGGAAACGATAGACTAGAAGGCATGGAACTGGCCAATGCATGGGCTTTCCAGGCTGAGCGCATCATACATGGCCGTCCGTCTGGGGTGGACAACACCGTCAGCTGTTTTGGTGAGTTTGTCTTCTTCTCAGCCTGACGCTGTTGAGGTTTTTACCTTTCTGTGTCTTTATTTTTGCGTGTCTAACCTCTTGAAACTTGAACGTCTAGATTTCTTTCCGTTTCTCAGGGCGACTGGAAAGAGCAGAAGATAAAAGCTAAAAGAGATGGGAATTCAAGACTATCAGAATTAGGCACAACAGCAAAGCTCCAATATGGGGATATCATTGTCGAAGAAGCTCAAATATTTGAAACGAGCGGACAAGATGAGTGTCACTGGCTGCTTGGGGCGCATACAGGGTCGAAATTTTGACGTGTTTGCCACCCGAGAGAAGGACAAGATATGGAAGGAGCATCTCAATTCGACTGCCTCGCACATGACCCGTGTCCTTGCACGACGTCCTCAAGTCGTTCGTCTGTTGTTCAGGTGGCGCAATCTGCTTCAAGAAGGGGGTCATCACGCGTCTGCCGCCCATGGTGTCGCTGCGGATGCTGCTCACCAACACCAACGTCGGGCGGGATACAAAGGCGCTAGTGGTGAGATTCTCCAAGAACGCTTCAACTCCACTGTTGGATGATTTCTAAAGCAATTCTGAGCTGTTTCCTGTTGTTTGGCTCGTGATTCAAACGGAACAACTTGGTGCCCGGAAAGTAGAGTAGTGTCGTTAGCAATACGCTGAATCTCTCCTCTACTCAGGTTTTGAGTGAAATTAGAATCGATGGACTGGCGCGCTTCTGAGGGACAACAACTTACAAACCCAGTTCTTTTAGAGCTCAAGCGTGCCGTTCATTCATGTCACCTCTTCCACGTCCACGAAACGATGCTTTGCCGTCACAGTGCAGGTGCTTCTCGAAAGGCTGATGCTGAGTATAGACGGCAACAATCACCACCCCGATGTCCTGCCTGACTCATCGGATCTGTAAGGGACGACTCAAATCTGTCTTTGATAAATCAGAACGGCTCAGCTTTCAGGCTTAAGATCCGACTCTTCCGTGCTTCTCGGGGAACCTCGAAACGTTGAGACGCCCTCTCTTTCGGCGCAGGCCGGAGTCGGGCAGCGAGCGGCCCGGTTGCAGGCCGTGTATGAGCCGCTCTTTGCGGCGATTGACGAGATGTCACAAGCGTTCCTGCGAGCATCAGCGAGTCCAGCCGGCGACCCTGCAAACCTGCAGACACTTGTCGAAGTAAGTAATGCTCGTCGTGAAACTCGTGGTCTTGTGTGATCTGCAACCAAGTATGGACTCTGTGATCACGTGTGCACAGCGTTCATTGGTGAGTAGTGCTTCTCGGTTGACGTGTTTGGCGCCTTTCTAGAAGGCAAGCAGGTCAAGGAGAGCTGGAGCTCTTGTTCTGATTGCTTTCGTTGACAACCCACACACAGAATTGGCTTGTTCGGCGCACTGTAGTAGCTCGTGTAAGCAGTGGTCCACCAAGCAGCAGGTTCTTTGTTGCTTCCCTTTCTCGCGGCCGAAGATGCCGCAAAGTTACTCATCACCAGGTGTTTACAAAGAGAAGCTGGTCGAAAATCCCCTGCTTCCAGTACCTTTTGTTAGTTTGATCGTTCTCCGGGCCTCCCTCACAGCCGAATGAGGCGACATAAGATCCGGTCTGACCCTGCCATCTACTTCCGATGTCTCCATTTTGCAAGCAGCGGCGACCCGCCTGACTTTGATTCGACATCTGTCTGCAGGAACTCGTGGACTTGAATCAAGCGATTCTGAGAGGCATTGGCGTCAGCCATGCAAAGATTGAAGAGATTATAGCCGTAACAGAGAGAAGGAGTCTCCATTCAAAGTTGACCGGGGCTGGAGGTGGGGGATGCGTCCTAACCCTACTGCGGGATACGGACGAGACAGTCCTTCAGGAGTTGATTACGGAGTTGGAAGGGAAGGGCTTCACATGCTTTCTGGTCTCGGTCGGGGGCCCTGGCTTGCAGTTGAGAACGGTATGATTGGTTTGACCGGCCGAAAGCTTCAAGAGTCGGGGATCCTAAGCCAGCGCTCAGCTGCGCGGCTTAGCATGTGTACCAGAAGACTCGCTGTTGTCAACGAAGCCCTGTTTACTTGACGTATGTTTGACGATCAAGGGAGCAACGGCTTAGACGCCACGCTTTTCCCATGCATTTGGACTCCGAAAGTTCCGTATTGCACATGTGCATACGTCTCAGTATGTTCCGCGGCAAGTCCTAGTTGCCAGGCAGTCCATAGATCGATCGTCATTATAGGCGATATTGAAGCAAGTTCCATCAGTTGCGCCGGCTTCTTGGAGTCTCTGACTGAACGCTCTCAGTGTGGATGATAGATATGTGCGGAATGATTCATAAGCTACACGTACGCATCGGATCTGCGGCTTATATATACGAGCAACTCTGGCGACTCTTGCCGGAGTCGCGCTGCATGTGCACGGACCGCAATATGTACCGTCGGAGCCATATGTACGCCGGCCACAATATGTCCGCGCAACGATCGTCTTCCTGCTTACCTCAATAGCATGCACTAGATCTGGATTGCAAACTTCAGAGCCTACCTTCAGACTCAAGCTCTCGAGGCTTAATGACGCTAGCTAGCCAACCAGCGATCGTTCGTAACAGCTGAAACAATCTTTGGACTACTAATTAGAGCAACGGTGCATTTGGGATATACGCTGATCTATGAGAGAGTTGACCTCCTGCCGCCCATGCGCATTCTTTGATCTGCGGATTCCGAGAATGGTTGAAGGACTCTCACAAAGGACTCTGGAAGGACCAGTATTGCAGAGGATGAGAAGTGGCGGCTAGTATCGCGGCATAAGAAAGTTCTGAATTTGGAGTCGACAGTGACGTAGGTATACGTGACCATGGGGGGTTCGTCTTGAGTCGTCTGCAGCAATTTGACAATCTGATGGCTGCAGTCTCAACTACGGTACTGGGCACTGAATCCTGTTACGGGGGCTCCTTCTCGTCTTGGCATCGTTGGCACTGGCATCGGAAGCCGTACGCCCACTCGAGGTGTTTCTGACGTGTCTCGACAGGGAGGCTAGCGTCAATGTAAGTGATGGTGAGCTCCTCTCCTGCACGCGAAGGTGACCCGGCAAAAAGTTGTTGAAGTGACACTGGACACGGACTGAAAACACTCACAGACGGGGAATGCTGAGTTGAACGTGCGGAGGCTACTCGAATCGGTGCCTGATCCGGGCCCACCGACAATACGAAGCCTGACCCTCTGACCAATCCTTACTCATGCGGTCGTGAGTCTGTTGCTTCTCGCCTGACAAAGGGCAGGCTGACATAAGCTCCGATCATGGTGCCGAATCTCGTCAAATTCCAAGACGCTTGAGAGTCAACGACTCCTTGCCTCCAAGCAAGATGACGACTGGCCAGCTTGTGGACCTCAGGAGCTTGTTATCAGCTGTCGGGCTCTTTGCAGCCGACAGATCGAGAAGTCTCGCGGCCAACTGACATTAAGGGGGCGCACCTCCAGAAAACTTTAGGTCGACATTCTGAGACTCCAGATGTGCCACTTGTGCAAACCAGGACAGCAGGTAGTCTGCTAAATCCGCACGCTCTCTTCCTTAACGGTCTGTCCAAGGAATTCATGGTGAACTTTCTGGCAGTTGATACCCTCAGAAACCAGAATCCGACAACCGTGATTGCAGTACGCGCTAGACCGCTTTAAGACTAAGACGACGCTCTGCTTATCGTCCACAGGTTGTTCGGTCTTCAACTGTACACGTGAGTGTTACGAACTTTTCCAAGGAGAGCAAGTGATTGTCAGACTTTTCAACTGGGTAAGTGCTTCTTACCTTCTTGGATGTCTCGCCGAGCTTCGAAACGGGCTATCGCGTCCCTGGGCCAATGGATATCCACGCTGGGCTCTGCAGAGAAAGCGGCAACCTTAAGCGCCCTTCTCAAGCACCGCTTTCGGCACTAGCCAGCCCCTGCGTTGCGCCGAGCGGTGAGTCTTGCAGTCCAACTCAATTAGACTGGGTTTGTAATACGAGTCTTCGGAACGAGATCGTAACAGCACTGCACCGTGCGTTCAGAAAGATCAGTCAGAATATGCAACAGCACCTCTCACTCACAAAAAGCAATCGGGAGGAATAAAGAAGCAAAAGTGATCGAAAAAGTTGTCATGTTTGAAGAGCAGGAACAAGAGCACGAAGAGAAGATAGAAGAAACCACGGAAGAATTAAGAGTCCCAGTCCAGGAAGTCATCACGGCATGCATCAGGGCCCGACAAGGGAATCCTGTCTAAGTCCAACGCGGGTTGCCGAATCCTCACCACAGCTGTGATTGTACATCGACGGCAGCAGGTAAACTGCGCTCCCCGCAGAGCCGTGTCCGGCGGCGGCGTCCGAAGCGGCGGCAAAAAGATCGGACGGGTCGAGCGGACGCACGATGTCGACTTGGAACGAGTTGAGGTGCATGCGGGCAATCACGCTGACGTACCAGTCCAAGGTTAGGACTGGTTAACGACGGGTTGGAAGGGGGTCAAGGGCTGAGACGATGCTTAGGGGGCGGGCTGACTGGCTCGGGTGAGGCTTGCGGAAGTTGAAGGGCAAACAAAAAATGCACGTTTTAGTCGATAGCTGGCAGTCATGAGAGTGGACAGCTTCGGTCGGAGGCCCTTGCCATTAAAAATCAAACTTTCGGACGAAATTGATGGTGAATGTTCTATTTCTGCGAACTGTGGTATAGCTTGCAAGAGAATCTGACGCTCTCCAAAACAACATCTCTAACCAACTTCGTCCTAATCTTTGTCTTGCGTAAGTTTGGACAGCTAAGTAGCCTCCAATTGCAAGCAAAGAAAGGACGTGCAAACGAAGGTCGCGTTGAGTAAGGAACAGAGCGGCATCGTTGGATACAGCGCAGGGCTTCGTCTGATTGGCCTGACCTTCTCAAGGCCTGGTAGACGATCGAGTGCTCTTCGACCCACTGCAGAAGGGAACGGGAAAGATCACAACGAGGCGCCTGTGATATGAAGCTGACTTGGAACAAACAGACAGAAAGGCGTGGCAAGCGGCTGTCAGTCTCGCATGGCCTTCGATCGACGACAGCGTTCTAAATCCTGCTGGGTTTGATGTGGTGTGCGGTTTTATACATATCGAAGCAGCCAGTTGTGATCGAAGAGAACGAAGGGGCTGTGCACTCACTTCCGGAGGAGTGGGGTCCGTCTTGACAAAGCAGAGCGGTCTGAGGACGTCCGGCTCCGCTGCCTCAGACAAGACCATGCACGCGAGGCGAGCTACGAGGAGGGGGAACCGCAGCCCATGCTCACTGCACGATACGCAACGTGAAGTTAGCTGATGATCAAAACGGGAGGTCAAGAACCTCGTGGGAGGCAGGACGAAGTTTTGAGAACGTACTTGAAGCAGCTCATCCTTTAAGCGGCCAACAAAAACGATTGTATGACTCGCTGTTGGAGCATAAGGTCATTCCTTTGCATGGAATGGACGTACCGGCCGTGTTCCACCAGCTTGGTCCAGTTCGCTTGTTGCTCAACCCCATAGAACTGATCCTGCGCAGAACTGGAGAAGGTGTGATTAAGCAGCAGTCACGACCTGGGTGCATCAGAACTGCAGGAGACGAAGAAAGGCCTAACGACTGAACATCACGTGGTCCAAGTAAATTCGTCGTCAAATGTATATAAACGGTCTGAGCACCTCAAGGACTTCCGAATTGGCGGTCGAAACTAGGGCGACAGTTTCTGGCGAGACCATCAAGCAACGCTCCAACAAAAGAGTGCCTCAGAGCGGTGAAGACTTGAGGGTCTTCATTGAGACAGCCCTCAACCGTGAAATCTCATACCCCTCCACCCTACAAGGGGGTACATCAAGTCACCAGAGACCGGCCACTTGAAGACTTTGGAGTTGGAAATTATGCAGAAGCTTCGTCGTTTGCAAAGGATTCTCAAAGGGACCTTCAATAGACTGATTGGAGGCAACATGTGTGTACTTCAGCTGCGACCAAACTTTGAAAAGAACGGAAATTCAACTCATTTGCCAAAATCAACACAGAGGGGAGCCACAGCAGATCACAGCTGCTCATCCTTAAGTGCTCACTTCGGCATACAGGGCGCACGCCTCACTGCAGAACGAAGGCCGCAGCTTGCCTTCTGCCGGGGACTTTACGCCATCAGGATAGTACCTCACACCTTCCTGGGTGTACTTGAGGCACAGGTAGCAGCACTGCGCTGGAAGTAACGTAGTTAAGCTTTCAGAAATTGATCTAGAATGTTTCGAAATGTTTCGAAAAGTTTCAAAGATTGAGGATTTGGCAGCTAAATTGTTCACTTATGTAGATTCCATTGGAAGATCCAGAAGCGACAGCTTCAAGAATGCTTAGACAGACCGCTACCTCATCTTGCAGCGCTTGATGTCGTGCTTAAATGAATGCAAGGGCCATTTCAGAACTTGCTCACTTTGTCAATATTGTTAAGCGTCGGATGCGCCACAATTGGGGCTGCATCCTGGATTACTTCGCCCGCTGCTATCTCCTCTGCTGCATACATTCCTCGCCCAGCTGTAGCACTTGCCCGGACGGTGAGCGGCAGGCCTGCCAGCATCAGAAAAGATAGTGATCTAGATAGTGGTGTTTTCGAGAATGGCACAATCTGTCATAATGGGCCCTTCTTCTGCTTATTGTACTCAACCACACAACAAGCGGGGAACAGAGCAGGTGACCCAGTACGGCTCTGAACTCATTTCCAACCTGCCACAACGAAAACATTTCCCCAGATCTTATACGTCCAGGGCTTTACATCTCACAAGCATCATCGACCAGACTGTAGAAGAAAGTCGTTAAGGAACTATGTCATGCAGAACAGAACCACATGCTGACCTTCGGCAAATTCCTCAAAGAATGGGGAGGGGTTCGATTCCAGCTGCGTGTCTCGCCCCATCGTCAGACTCCTAGAATTAGGTGCACAATTCAGGCGCTCAAGAGTCAATTTTGATGTCCTGTCATGTTCTGCCCCTAGTTTGCAAGCAGCTAGCAGGCGCTGTGAGGCTGGGCCTGTGTGATATGGTTTTGGGCCCGGCTCGCGGTCAAGCCCATATCGTGAGGTGCTTCCAATCTGGCCGCGGAACAAGCTGCCCTGATTATTTAACGTATTGCAGATGGCCTTTGAGTGCGTTGATCTGCTGCGCGCTAATGCTCTAGCCAAGCCTTCCAAGCGCAGATAATTCATGTGAATGTTGGGTCAGACGCAAGAGATTCGTGTCGGGTCTTGCAGGAGCTAGGGCTTCAACACAGGGAACACCTGAGAATCAGTCTGGCATGCAAAAAACAGAGTTTTGAGCTGCAAAACCTTTCCAGTACAAGTTCCTGCGGACATCAATGTATATGGAACAAACTGCAAACAACGGAGCCGTGACCTTTCTGAGTCTCCCCAGCTTGCTCCTCTGTGCAGCATTCCACAAACATCGAACTGCACCACTTCAATTCAAAGCGCAGCGGCAGAGCGGTTTAACTGCCAGTGCAGGCATCCCTGCAGGGAGCGCCAACTCAAGATTCTTTGCATGACAGCTGGCCAGATTCAGACCAGCTATACGGCCGTCACTCTGCGTCAAGCTGACCACTGCTGCGTGCTGATGTCACTCCTAGTAACTAAGATATAGGTAGTACTAGCGAGTCAGATACGTACCCTCCTGAAGGAATGCAGGCAGCAGGCTGCAGCCTGCAGGAGGCTGCTGCAGAACCCGACTGAGTGGGTTGAGCGGCCCAAGCCTGCCAAGGTACGTACCAAAGACTGAAGGAGTCAATTCAGCGTGATCTACGGTTCAGAACCTGGATCTTTCAAGTTCGGTGCAGCGTAACGATTCTGCTACGAAAGTCGATTTAGACCAGGTAGATATAAGGATAAAGTTCAATACCTATAAGGATCTAAGAGGGGCGGCGAACGGGTGGGGTTGGTATGGTGGTTAGGGTGGGTTCGGGTGCTCAGCGCGTCATGTTTGTAGGTTAGGGTTTTTAGTTAGGTTGCTGCCCCGGGTACTTCCTCAGAGGTGTTAGATCCTTATAGGTGTTAAACTTGACGGGTATGGGTAGATGGGCAAAAACTGCCGTGATATGTCTCAGGCCCAGGGGTTGCAAAGGGACGAGGATACCGATTCTTGGTGCTGGTGTCCAGACAACTGTGTGGGTCACCATGATTGCAGAGCTGCCAGTGCATGCGGAGAGAGTGCGCGTTGCATGGGCTAGTCCTGCAGGGTGTACAGGGTACGTCTCCAGCAAACAGGACGGAGACAATTCTAGGAGGCACAACGCCAGGGCGGTAGCTAGAGGGCATACAAGATTCGGAAGAAGGTCTTGGGAGCAAATGGCGGCTGGCGCTAGATTGGCGGCTCATCTGTCGCGGTCGGTTGCTCTAAGCACGACCGCATGCAGCACGTCGTCCAGGTGCAGTAGTGGGCAACTCCTCCCCCTTCCAGTGTGCAGGCAAGCGCCTTCACGCGCATGGGGATGCGTTCTGAAGCAAGCGTGCACTCTTTTAGGCGTGAAGACAGACTGGAGGCAGACGTCATTTGCTGCAGAACTGACCGGGATTAAGGCTAATAGGAATGGGCGAAGATCCAAGAGGGGAATGATTGTAGCTGATCTTGGTGGGGAGTATTCAGAGAATTTTGATGATGTTGAGAAGGTAAGCTGCGGACGTTGTGGCGATAGCAGGCTGTGGTCATTCGGATTCAGGGCTTTCATTCTGAGGCAGACGCTTCTGCTTTAGATAGATTGTTCTGATTGTCAGCCATTTTTGGTAATTTCGCAGCTGTGACTGATAAGATCATTCATTGCTGCTCACTGAGACAATGTGGCTGACAGACTTCAAGAATGGTTTCTGTCACTAGGTCGACATTCAAGTCGGCTCTCCTAGAGCAAGAAGAAGCTTAGAACCTCTCTGAAGTTGCATTGAGGTACATCAGCTGGTATTGACATGTGTGGGACAATTGGTGCAGATCTCAGCATCTCACACATCGAGGTTCTTAGATTCTCAACCTCTAGAGCAGTTCAACAGCACCTCTCTACTGGGTTGAAGGGGAGTAGGGTTCAAACGGTCATGTAATTTGTAGCTATACATATCACTGCATTGAGGAAAGAGAGGTACTCAGATCCGTTCCAACTTGAGGGGAGATTGCCTCACCAATTCAGTCGTACAGGCTTGCACATCCGAGCAGCCTGATCTTGGAATTTTCCTCTCCAGCACTTGGTGGACTACTTTACATACAAGGCCGTCAAGACTGTTCTTGCTCAGCTGCTAGAGATGAACCCGTCCCAGTACCGGTGGCTCTACAGGTTCGTGCCTGTCAGCAACGCTGTGTCCAGTGTTGCAGCCTTTTGCATCTATCGTCCCTGTTGTTGCCCTTGTGATTTCGGAGGACAGTCATATCACTCACTCTCTTCATAGAGAGGATGACAAGGGACAGCTGCAGGATGTTGACAGTGCTGTGAAGGGGGACTCGTTTGCAGTCCATGCCCCATGCGGATTGACATGGTTATCTCCTACTGGTCGAATATGGCCCAAAAATGTCATTCTAACCTTATGTTCGCCTCGTTGGTCCAGCTTCGTGGTGGAAAATCAACCACAAGATAGCGTGGTCTTTATCAGGAAACTCGTAAAGGTAAGAGGGTTTACTGTTCTGTTTTTCTCAATTGTTTTGCCGCAAGGATGCAGACACCAACTGATGCAAACGCCAAGAGAGAACGCATAGTCTGCTCTTAGCAAAGCGCTGGAGCAGACTGCCCTGGACATATTTGAGCAAGAGTGCCCTTCTGTGATTGAACATGAAGTCAGGGCCCAGTAGCATGCGAAACATTGTGCAAGCCTCCTGTGACCCTGATTCAACTGGAATGTCTATTTGGCAGGAAAAGCAAGAGCTCGCAGAGCGGGTGATGGTCACCCGCTTGCACCTTTTCAACCAGTGGGTCAAGGTAGGGTCAAGATGGCAGAATTCCTATTCAGCAAATCTGCTCAATCACTGCAATTCTTCTGGTTGAGTGTGGGTTCTTTGACCATTCTGTTGTGAACGGGGCGTTGATATGGACAATTTCTTGAAAGTGAGGGCAACATGGACGTTTGAGCCCCCACTCAGTTTGTGATTGGTCTGTATAGCAAGTGCTGTCAACTTGCTCAGAGTGGAGCAGTTGGCTGTGTTGATCCAGAAGCAGGAAGTGAAAGTGGGTCTCTACTTCTGCATTTGTGTGGGTTCAAGACATTCAAAGCGTATGCCGGAATACCTTGCTGAAATATCCGGAGTTTGACGAGGACCAAATCTTAAAGGATTTGTGCTTGCTCTGCAGAAATACAACCATGCGGACTTGTACGAATCTATACAGAAGCAGAACCTGGCCTTGCTCAGGGAGCGTCTCATGCAAACGGTCAAATTCGATGAGGAAGTACCCAAGGATACGTAACGTGTTGTGATCCTTCGAAATAATAGCTTGTGGGTGCGAAAGCGAGTTGGTGGAGGTTGAAGTGATTGTACATTGGGTATAGCATGCTGGGATCCAGAACTTTGGAACCGGCTTAATCGTGGCCATCCCTGCACCGGTCTGCAGTGGCTGGGATTCATTCGAAAACGGTTAGTGAGGAACGGGCAATACTTGTACAGATTCTTGCAGGACAGGTTTTATTGCACCTAGTGCTGACATTCAGACAAACACTTCAGGATCAGAAGAACTGGGATTTTTTGAAAGGGCGCACAATAAGTTTCAAGTAAAGAGTAGATTCGGAAGCTCCTTTAGTACAAATCAGAGGCCCGCTGTAAAAGGCTGCACGTGGGCTCACAAGGGTACGGTTAGCCTTACACACAATTGTATTTGACCAGTGTTGCAGACCCCTCAAGCATGTACGGCTGTATAAAGGTATGTCTGCAGCTCTGATTACTTGATTGCTGAGTGTCCTGGATGGATTTCGATCATCTCGAGTTGGCATGTTAGACTCCTTTCCATGCTCAGTGCATGCTGAGTTCGCGCGCTGGCTAAGTTAGAACTAGTTGATCATTGAGCTTGAGAGTATGCACATATAGGTACGGCAACTCATACATGTGTACAGGTGCTGACATGTGCAATCCGACGATTTGACCACCACTCAATTGACATGCAGTGCACTGGCAATTGTCGGACCATGTAAATTGTGAATGGCGAAGCACATGTATGAGTTTTTTTCATTCATGAGACGGTCCAGTCACAGTCTTTCGGGGTAATGCTAGGTCACAGTCGGCCTAGATAGATCCGCTGCACTTCTTGCTCTAACTACGTTGACATTTGCCTGCAACCGCCTGTCTTTCTACTCATTAAAGCTTCATGTCAAGTCCATCGACTTTGTGATGACACAAAGTACAAAGCGTGCTACCGCGCACTGAGCCGTTCAAGGCTGAGATTGAATAGTATGTATGAAGCGAGCTAGTATGATAAAACTCCAACTTTGATTCGCCCGCTCGAATTTAGAATCGTTCGAGAAGTGGAGTGACTTTTTCTCGAAAACCTGGTGGCAGGCGCTCGATAGCTTCCAGAATGTCCTGCAAGCAGCGCAAATTCCCTTGGGCTGACCCGATGCACGTGAACTCAAAGATCAGAACTTCATTGGCTATGAAAATATGAAGGAGCTCCTCAGCAGGTCACGAGTTTTGCAGATTTGTCTGGACAGGGGAAATCATGCTGACGGCTAGGGCGAAGCTTCTTCTACGGTATGAATCTGACACCAAGCACGATTTTGGCCTAGAGGAGATGAAGATGGAACCTGTGGAACAATGGCTTTCCAAGCGAGACAACTGAACTTACAAGACCCCATCACTTAGTGCTATGTACAAAGGAGGACTCTTGTTGGACTAGGATCGGAGTAGTACATCGAAACTGCAAAACCGACTTGACGGCTATGAGAAGATGCTTCGGCTCCTCAATTTAAGCGGTCCACGTGCTTGGCAGAGAGTGCGGGACTGCTTTTTTAGCTTTCTAGGCCGCAAGCATGCAGCTGGGACACCAAAGGAGCAGACTGAAGGGATTGATCTCAGCCGAGGCATGGGGCTCACTTTCCGGCGGTAGCGAGCAGAGAAGTGGATGAAGAGGATGGCCTCGTTTTGGAAGAGATGCGCCAACGGAACGACCTGGGCAATAGGAATAGCGTGGCATAATACCAGCACAGGGCCTCGCAAGAGGTGGATCAGGAGCACTACTGCAAAAAAAGCTCGGCTACTGTAGTCGCAGCTCGAAACGAGCCGCTGATTGAATCGGGCTGGGAAGATGAAAAGGCCCGTGCCGGTGTCGTATAAGGCGGCGTTAAGATTAGGGTGCG